TTATTTGAAGAAAAAAAAATGTGTTAGAAATAAATATTTTCGTATTTCTGATAATAATGATTCTTTAAACACGATATGTTAATTATTAAATTTAAAACCTGTAAATCCTTACTTAAAAAGAGATCAGTCCTTTCAGATCGGAGTTCCGAATGGCAATAAAGACTGAACGATTGATTGATTAATTATTATTGTTTAACGCCGAGTCAGCAATATTTCAGCCATATTCCGGCGATAAAGACTGAACGATAAGTGAACGCTGAGCGCAAGGTGAACGCAAAGTGAACGAACGAAGAGCGAACGGTGAACGCTTTGTGAACGGTGAACGCGAGCGCACGGTGAACGCTGAACGCAAAACTGTGAACGGAGAGCGAACGGTGAACGAACGGTGAACGCACGCTGAACGCACGGTGAACGAACGGTGAGCGAACGGAAAAATGGGAAAGTAGAACGTTTTAGGGACTGTAATATTAACAATATAGGAAAGTCAGCTCCATGGATACATAAAACTCTATCATAACAATAAACCGCATGGATAACACTGAGTGACTGACCAGTAAGTACATTATTATGACCTCTGTAACTCTAGCCTATTCATACTGTAACGGGAAACCTGTACGTTTCCATGTATAAATCCAGATTCAGTGATTTACAGAGAAAAACACAGTTAGAAAGGTTAACAAAGGTTTATTAAATGAAATAGATAAATAAATAAGTTACAATTAACAATATTACAAGTCTAGGGGATGGTGGATACCTTTTCGCAGCTTGTCTCAGGCTAGCACTGATCTAATATGGCCGTTGCGAACGTCACGGTGGTCAGGCCGTTAACAGACGTCCATACGTTGTCCCGAACGGCCTGACACACACGCAAAGTCGGCAACGAACCCGACATTAAATGTGATATAATAATAATATAATAATAGCATAATGTTACACAACACAATATTACAATAATTATTCATATTAATACGTGACTAGATACATTGTAATAAATAACAAAGATTTAATAACACATATAGACACTATAAATCATCCACCATTACAATACAAATAAACACTGTGCCAAAATGCAGATATGAAATATGCTACATACATGTAAGACGCCAAATGATTGTCATTATGAGAAATTAACAATAGAAAATATGGGTAATTCCTACCCAATAGGTACAAATCTACAGTGTACCCATCGTTTCAAGCCACGGTCCGGAGTCCGCATACAGCTCTCTCCTACAGAATGAGAGACGATCGTACATTTTGGCCGTGGTTTGCGACGATGCTGTGTACCAAAACAATCAACAATATGGGTAACTCCAACCCAATAGGAACAAATCTACTGTCTACAAAAACAATCAACAATATGGGCAACTCCGACCCAATAGGTACAAATCTACTGTTTACCAAAACAACCAACAATATGGGTAACTCCGACCCAATAAGTACAAATCTACTGTGTACCAAAACAACCAACAATATGGGTAACTCCGACCCAATAGGTACAAATCTACTGTGTACCAATACAATCAACAATATGGGTAACTCCGACCCAATAAGTATATATCTACTGTGTACCAAAACCATAAACAACTTGGGTAACATTGACCCAATAAGTACATATCAACTGTGGACCAAAACAATAAGCAACTTGGCTAACACCGACCCAAAACGTACATATAAATTGTGTACCAAAACAATAAACAACTTGGCTAACACCGAACCAATCAGTACATATCAACTGTGAACCAAATCAATAGCTATTAAACAATGTAGAAAACTTCAACCAAATGGTACCTTAGAACTCTGTACCAAAACTACGCAAACAATTTAACTACAAGTATGGGCAATCCAAGCAAAATGTCACAGTGCATATCAACTATGAATAAGCTCAATTCATAATGTAATATTGGTAACCATTACCAAAGGGATGCATATAAATATGTCCTCGTCCTTAAAGGAACAAATATTAACACATATCGTCAACAAAATGCGTACTTGAACATGAACTGCAATAAATATTTACATATTCGTGTCAAATTGGACCAAATAAACACAAACTTATTCCTTCCCATTAGAAAACTTCAACTCATGAAGACAAGATATTGGATTGAAGTACACATTGCTTAACTAACCTTACCAAGATAGCAGGCAGTTTGCAATAAATGAAAATGATAACATATTTTGGTAAACCATTAGGATACCAAAACGGTTTATAGTATGATCTAATGCACCTCTATTTAAGAGTAAAACAAAATACTGGCCTTAGTCAATTAATTGAATGTGAAGGCGAACTTCCTTGTGCATGTGGTGAAGCAGCAAAGGTGTAAGCCATCTGGACCTAAAATGCCCAAGTCTTCGAGGTACAGTATCTCCCGCTGTGTACCCAGATGTGAAATAGCCATGCTTGTAGCCGAGCCTTGCGGGATGCTAAAAGCAAAACGAACTGACCAATACTAATTATCACAACTTCTTGCAGATCGAACTCTGTGTCGCCACTAATCATGCTGATATGGAGATATAAATGTCTCCGATAGTTTCGTTCAATCAGTTAAAAAAACTCTAAAAATCCTATCCAAATCTGGAGGGAACTACATTTGGTGACGATATAAAATAAAGTTATATGGAATATTAGCACTCTAGAGATAGCTTGTTATGAATCTCTGTTCATAAAATCTTGAGAGAGAGTGTACATAAACACAAAATGAATAAAGTTCATATAGTCAGAAAATACAGATACCTACTGGATACACCACTTTCATATAATATCTTTGCAAATAACTCGCGCACATCTACCACCAACAAGAAAGGCCGCGTAAACATCCACACAAAGTGCACTTTACAACATGTTGTTTCCATTTATTCTTTTAGAAATTTCGTCTACTCGACGGAAGTCCAAGGCACGTTTAGCTAAGTTAAACAATCACAGAGGTTGTAACATCTTCAAAATAGACGTACCTCGTGTAAACGTTGGTCAACGAGCAGGTATCAAAATACAACTGAATGACTCGCTAAGCTGACCACGTGACCTTACTCCATCCTTGGCTAGGAGCAATTAATACATCAGCCAAGGCGTGGATCTAAGAATTTTCACAATTTACAAGCATAAAATCCTACTGGAAATCGCTAAATAAATTACCGCATTAAATACATAAATACAATTATTGATTCTGATAATTGTTGTTTGACTTTTTGGATGCTGCGCCTCCGGAAATAGTTGCTGTCTTGGGGGACAATAAACTTGCTTTTGTCCTCATAGCCAATAAATAGGTGTATAATATTGTTAGCGCATGCGCTTCTAAGAGTCAACCGGATCCATTCTTTACTGCTTAACAGCTTGAAAATGGACACGTTTTACAAAGGGAAAATTGTGCTCTATTTGTTTCATAATCTGAAAATGATGCAGTAACCGAAATACGTGAGTTTAGCTTCCATCCCAATGGATGAATTAAGGTGAGGATGGAACGAAACTTAAAAATTACGTACTTTCGTTTTAGATGTTAAGAAAAGGTACGCATTCTAGTTTTTGACCGAACTCAATAAAAGCGGAGTTAGCGTTAATCTGTGATTTTTCACCAGGGAGATATGAGCGAGGCAATTAATGTCAGCAGTTTTGAGGGAGGGATCTTAAGTTTTAAGGCCTTTTACACGGTCTGACTCGTAAGATGTGATTTCAGATGTGATTTTATATCTGACTCCAGTGTTTCATTTACATTGTATGATTTGGCAGATATGTAGTTCATTAATATTTCCCTCCAAATTTCTTATATTATTTACAATTTAACAATGGAAAACGGCAATTACATACTACCTGTCCGTTTCCTAATGATAGCAGCTGTGTACCATTTGAACGCAGAAGAACATGGGCAAGACTTTGGTTAGGACATGGTGCATATTATGCAATAAGTAAGGAGACCTCCATGATTTCATTTTTCAGACTTTACTTCTAAGTATAATTTGTTAACCAATTGGTTTATTCAGTTTAACTTTCCTGCCATTATCAAAACAAGTACATGGAATGAAAAATTCCCCCAAGATTTGGCCTGTAATATATCACATTAATCTTAAAATTAATCTGGAGCAAAAGTTCGGGAAAAATCCACGTGTTAATTGTACCTAATTCAGATCAACCTTTCTGACCTTTGTATTGATTGGTTGAAACCATCTGACTTGTCTCTATTCCATCTGACGTCATATCTGGCTTATGATTTTCCTATTTACACGGTATGATTTGTAAGATGTGGCGAGTCACATCTTACAAATCATACCGTGTAAATGGGCCTTTACTGGTTTTAAATTAAAGCTAGAAAACTTATTGTTTAGAAGCCTTTGCACCTCTCCCCCCCCCCTTTCTTTTTTTTTTTTTGGGGGGGGGGGGTCCATGCAAATCATATGCGGTTAAAAAGTAAAATAGCAGAAAAAGAAAGTTAAAATGAATTATAGTTAACTAATTAAATAAATAAAGGTTTTTGACAGGAACTATTTTTTTCAGGGCATAGGAGGCTACTTCCTGGGGTAGAAGATTATTTTTATTTTACTAAGAAAACTGACAACTTAGGATCCATCCCCTCAAATCTGCTGCCGTTAATTGTCTCGACAGCGTTAGGGGAATACGGGTGATCTGCATCAATTACACTTTTATTGACTCCATCACAATGGACGGGATTTCTTGGCATGTAGAAGTACTCAACAAATGTGGATTTTTTTTTTTAACTCAGTCAGTTGAAAACGGCTATTTTATGAAATCTTTCCTTTCCTCATTCCTTATGACTGCTTTCTTCCTCTTAAAAATTTTTAATCAAACTATGTATATCTTAAGACAAATAAAAAAAACCCAGGTATATTATTATGATATTTTGAACAAGAGTAAAGATTTATTGCCTTAAAGAATTTATCAGAAGACATTTTATTTCTTGTTTCAGGTATATCCAATATAATATTTCATCAATTACCTGACGGACGATCTTTGTAGGGTTAAGCCGGAATAAGAAATGCGTAACCAATATCCAAAACAAATCATTCTTGATTGATGCTTTAGGATGGCATCTAATTTCCTGTTAAATGATCAACAAAACTTTACCCGAATGGGGGTAGCCTGCGTGGACGAGATAAGCTTAGTGTTGGAAGATATTCTAAAGACACAAATTGCACCAAGGGACTTGTATAGCAAAATATGTTCATGTTCGGAATTAACAAAAAGCTCACATAGCCTGAGGCCAGATCAAAAATCAGTTTGTTTCCTCTCTCCACCGTCTGTCCCAGACTATAGTAAGTTTGATGTTAGTTTACTTTATACTCTAATACGAAATCTGTGTCAATGCTTAAAACCATCGCAAGGATGGGGGGAAAACCCCTCTCCTACAGACACACAAATTGGAGATGACATTGAGCGTCTCAGATTGTTTAGAAACGAGATGTTTGGACATTTACCTTCATCAAGTGTTCCTGACCACGAATTTATGTTACAATGGAAAGAGTTGGAAATTATTTCTAAGAGAGTCCAGACATTTGTAAGGTTACAAGGACACACAACTTCATGTAATTATGAGGAAAAACTTGCAAACATAAAAAGATTTGAGTTTGGCTTCAAAGATAAGGAGAAGTATGAAATACTGCTAAAAGGATTACAGCAACTCTACATACAAACAGAAGGTAAACGTATACACATATGTCAATTTACATTTAATTCATTTTAAAAAATCAATTTTATTTAAGTGATTTTTTTTTCACAATTTTGACTGTTATCACAGATTTTCCGAACATTACAATAAGAGGAGAAAGTAGAATTCTTTGTGGAGGTAAAACATGCTTTGTAGCTGAAATTGAAAACTGTCTTGAGTCCAGTAACTTTATAGTTACCTGGATGAAACTGAAAGGAAAAACAACAGAACATCTTGACACTAATTCAGAGAAGTTTAAGGGAAGTACCCATTTGCGGCTCGTCATACAACGTACGTTAAAAGAAGATGAAGCTGAATATCAGGCTATTGTACAACGAGAAGTGAATGGACGACACTTAAACATACTGAGTAACAAGCTCACCCTACAAGTATTTGGAGGTAAATAAATGTAGTGAATTAAAGTTTATGTTGATTAGGTACATTATGTTGAGAAAAATACAATGTCTCAAATTACTTCAGTCGAAACTTTGTGTTGCAGATCATCCGAAAATGGAAATATTAAAAGTTACCTCAGAGACAGAATATCTTGCAATCCATTACAGTTGTTCTGAAGATGTTCGACCCATGATCGATCAAATTCAATGGACAAAAGATGAAATACCATTGAGGTTGAATTCAACAAAGTATAATGGGGGAGGTGTAAAAGACAAATATTTGAAAATTCTCTCTCCAGCGAGAGAAGATGGTGGTGAATACGTTTATACAATTTTCAACGCCTGGGGTTCTGTTAGAGAAAGCATTACATTAGGTACGAGTGCAATGAATTATGTCGCGATTGATAGGTATCAGGTATATACAATATTTTTCTAATCCATTTTATGGATTGCAGTTTGTCAATGTGCTTTCCTCTGACAAAATTACGTTTTTCATTGATATCATGAATAACAAATGCATTCTGTTTATTCTTCATCATTCCCTCAACCCAGGAGTACCAACGGCACAACTCCCCCAATGCTTGAAAATTCCGTTTGGTAGTCCAGTCTCTATTGAGCCCGTCATACAATCCTGTCCTCCAGTGATGAAAGTCGTTTGGGAGATGAGTAAAGATCAAAATCCAGAAAATTTTAAGGCCCTAGACGTTACCTGCTCTCGATATTTTGGAAGCACTTTGGATCCACAGAACCCTATATTTGTCATACCAAAAGTATCTAATGCTGACAGAATGTATTACAGAATACAAGTATTAAATGGAATTGGTAACTCTTGGAGTAATGCAACTTTACTTAAAATCCATGGCGGTGTGTATCAAGAAAGGCACTGAGAACTGTATTCATGCTAAATGTTTAATTTTGCTCAGAAAAAATACTTTCTTTATTATCTCTGAGAATATAAAATGATTGCTCATGTTTTTTTTTTTTAAATTATTATTTTTTGTTTATTTTAGATATACCCTCTGTATTCATAAATCATGAAACCAATTTTTCGGAGCGGAGGGTTTCATTATTATGCGAAATTGTCCTAACTAAGAACTCGCCTGGAGTTGAAACAATTCTATGGATAAAGGACAAAAAGCCATTGGATATTTCTGGTTGTGGACTGAAATATTCAGGAGGTACTGTTTCTGATCCTACCCTAACTATCAATGCAGTGAATTCAAATGACTCCGGAGAATATCAGTGTAATGTGTCTAATGCAGTTGGGAACATGTCAAGTAGTCCCATCTATTTAGGTAAGATCATTATACCTCTATAGAATTTCCACGAAAAAAAATTACCAGGTGATGATTAATATTTTCTTCATTCATAAAATGTACTTTAATTAACTGTTGTGACCCAAGAAGCACAAAAAAGGTTTTCATGGTCTAATATTCAGCATTAAGACCTATAAATCGGTGACTTATAAGCGGTGTACATAGATAGAACAGCTGGTATCCGCATTAGCAGACGATTCGTCAAGCCACTTTTTACTAAAATTATTTTTACTGCAGTAAAACTCACTAGTGCTACTTATTATTAAATGAGGATAAATGGCAGTATCCTATGTTGAAAATAATTAATTTAACAAGAAGTGTTTGTGAAACACTGATGCCCCCTTATGACAACTTAAAGCAAAGGTTAAACTTTCTCAAATGCAAATTAAATATGTTGGTACCCAAATTAAGGTCTTGTCTCGAGGAATATACCTGTGAAATATGAAAGCCCTAGTAGCAACCATTGAATAGATACGGAAAAGGTTAAAGTTTTTTCAAAAGTATGTCAAACATCAAGGTCAAGGTCAAATGGTCAAAATTAATGGTGCCCAAGGAAAGGCCTTCTCTCAAGAAATACACGGGTGAAATATAAAGGCCGAAGCACCAATAGTTCAAAAGTTATGACCAAGGTTAAAGTTTTTAGGTCGAACTCCAAGGTCAAGGTCAATGGATTACAATTGTTGTTATCCAAAGGAAGGGCTTGTCACAAGAAATAGACAGGTTAAATACGAAAGCCCTAGCACCAACTGTTCAAAAGTTCTGTCCAGCTTAAAAGTTTTCCAAAAGTAGGTCAAACTCCAAGATCAAGGACAAAGGGTCAAAGTTGTTGGTATCCAAGGAAGATCTTGTCACAAGGATTACATATGTAGCACCAACCGTTCAAAAGTTATGGCCAAGGTTAAAGTTTTTCAAAAGTAGGTCAAACTCCAAAGTCAAGATCAAAGGGTCAAAGTTGTTGGTATCCAAGGGAAAGCCTTGTCATAAGAATTACATATGTGAAGTATGAGAGCCCTGGCACCAATGGTTCAAAAGTTATGGCCAATGTTAATTTTTTTTCAAAAGTAGGTTAAACTCCAAGGTCAAAGGGTCAAAGTTTTTGGTATCCAAAGGAAGGACTTGCCACAAGAATTACACATGTGAAGTATGAAAGCTCTAGCACCAACCGTTCAAAAGTTATGGCAAAGGTTAAAGTTTGGTAAAATTTTGCAAAACTGGGTGAAACTCTAAGGTCAAAAGGTCAAATATGGTGGTACCCAAAGAAAGGTTTTTTCACAAGGAATACACATGTGAAATATGAAACTCATATCTCTAACTAATCAAAAGTTATGGTCAATGTTAAAGACAAACAGACACAGACAGACAGACAGACAGACAGAGCAAAAACTATATACCCTCGAATCTTCGATATAATCTTCGGGGCATAAAAATAGTTTGACTCCATATTTACGTCTTTATATTATATAATTTCTTTAGAGCCCCCCCCCCCAATTTTTTTCATTGGTGTTTAGAGGTTCCTTAAACTAATTAATCACGTTATTTTTGTGTTGTAGTGCTTTTTAAGGATAGTTTTTGATTCGGAATGGTAGGGTTAGTATAATAATGCAGTCTCTTGTAATCAATCTATCAAAAACAGCTGGGCTATATGCGTTCTATTAAATGCTATAATAAGCAATTCCGACATCTTTCATGAAGAGAATTTTGCTTGAAAATGAAACTGTGTTAAATTTGTATAATATAATTAGTTAATTTCCTAATGTCATAAATATTGCATCCACGTAGCACAGTTAAGGCTGCAATAAGAATCGCCCATCCTTGTAAAGAATGTATTTTCTATCTAAAAAATTCGCCGATATTTCCATTTGGCACCTTAACTGTACTGCGCATGCTTGCTCCGTCAAATTAAATATTAATGTTTTGAAAAACGAATTTCGGCGAAAATATTGGACCCGTGGGGCTGGGATGTGGAATATCTGATTCAGTGTTTGTATGTAAGTCTCGTTCACTGCATGTTGAGAAGAAATCGTATTCAAAATACACACACACACCCTCACACACACACACACACACACTGATATATATATATATATATATATATATATATATATATATATATATATATATATATATATATATATATATATATATATATATATATATATATGGGTGTGGGCGTGGGTGTGTTTGTGTCTATAATTCTTGGAAGATATCTGTTATGTCTTGTATTCTATATGCGACACTTTCCAATAATTTAATTTAGTATTCTTAAGCTGCTGTGAGAAACTTTTTATACACTTACAGCAAAATTGATATTACATAGCAAGATTCTCTCCTTGTATTCCAAGACTACGATAAGCTATAGCGTTTGCACAGAATATCTTAAAATAAATCTCATTGAAAGCATTTTTTAAAAAAATTGTACAAATATTGTTTATATACAGTAAGTGTCTGAGGTATGTTAAAATCTCGCATTAAGCGATTGAGGGGCAGTATGAAAACCATCTATCCTTCTGTATTCAATAATTCAGAAGTAAAAAAAGAATTAGATTAGACGATCAGTACGTAGTGGTCCCTGCTGACAAAGCAGGTAACTACATTGTCTTTGTTTGTAAGGCTCATAAATTGTATTTTAGAGGAACTGGGATTTAAATCCAACTTATACACATAGCTCCCTTTCTAAGGAGGAAATTCTTCAAAATCATATGTCAGTTTTGAATATTTTTAATATTCCCAACAACAAAAATGAATCTGAATTACCATATCTAAATTGGATTCCGAAACTTCATAAAAATCCTTACAAACAACGATACATAGCGGGTTCTACTAAATGTTCTACCAAGCCTCTTTCTTTACTCCTCACTAAGATATTAACAATAGTGAAGGAAAAACTTCAAGAATACTGTACAACAATATATTCGAGAAGTAGTGTAAATCAGATGTGGATACTGAAAAATTCCAAGGAACTTTTGGAACATTTGAAATCACAAAATTTTATCAAAATCATGATCAACACCATAAAAACTTACGACTTTTCAACTTTATATACAATTATTCCCTACGATAAATTAAAGTCCAGACTTTCTGACATCGTTGACAGCTGCTTTTATCAATAAAAATGGAACTCGTAAATTTGTCATTGGTCATTTGCAAAGTTTCTTTGTTAAAAAACAATCTGATTGTACACACAAGTACTCTGAAGTTGACATTAAAAAGATGCTCGAGTTTCCGATTGACAATATCTATGTGGTTTTTGGAGACCAGGTCTTCCAACAATCTATTGGAATTTCCATGGGTGCCAATTGCGCCCCGTTATTAGCAGACCTATTTTTGTATTCATATGAAGCAGAATTTATTCAAAATCTTTTACGTGAAAAGAAGAAAACACTTGCTGTGGCCTTCAACTCGACATTTAGATATATCGACGACGTATTGTCAATTAACAATGGTTATTTCCATTCTTATGTCAATACGTTATATCCCGGTGAGCCTGAGATAAAAGACACCACAGAGTCGGACACATCTGTTTCATATTTGGACATTTTATTAGAAAAAGACGTTAATGGTAATCTAACAACAAAGCTTTATGATAAACGTGATGACTTTAACTTTTCAATCGTCAACTTCCCTTACCTATGCAGCAATATACCCTTGTCACCTGCATACAGGGTTTATATATCTCAGTTGATTCGATACGCCAGAGCATGCTCTACGTAGGAAACAATTTCTAAAATGAGGTAAGTTATTGACAAACAAGTTGATGAAACAAGAACATCAACAGTCTCATTTAAAGTCATCATTTCGTAAGTTCTATGGTCGATACAATGACCTTGTCAGCAAATACAATCTATTATTAAGTCAAATGCTGACTGACGTTTTTCATACAAATTGTTGGGCCATTATTTATACACTGAATTGTCGACGAATTTTTCCGTTATTTCCCGATCATGACAAGGAGCACACGGCGGGTATGACCGGTCAGCAGGGGATGATCACTCCTCCATGGCACCTGATCCCACCTCTGCTGTCTTAGAGGTCCGTGTTTGCTCTGCTCCTATTTTGTAATGTTTAATGGACTTTTGAGTTTGAATACTGTTCGTTATCTCCAAATATTTCATCTAATATGTTAGAGTTCTTTCAGGTGTACCAAGCATTGAAATACATTCCCCTGGATTGGAGCATGATGAAGAAGGCGAGAAACTTATCTTTACATGTACAGTTAGATCTATTCCGGAAGCAACAATAGTGGAATGGGGAATTCAGCAAAGTCCAGAAGATGTTTTTAGAAAAATAGATGTGCATGACCCTATGTATATTGGATCAACAGTTTCGATGCCATATCCAGTTTTAATGGTTCATAAATATTACCAAACATCATCTCAAATATATCTCATAAAAGTCACCAATTACATTGGAGAAACAACTGAAGTTATTCAGGGTATTTTTTATATTCTTATCGTCTCATATTTCTTTGATAAAATTATTAGTATTCTTAAATCAAGGATGACATTTAATTAGATGATAAAAAATACTCCACTGATAGGAATGAAAAAACACCTTTTGTACATTACGGTCCTATGCTTTTATTGCTGTAATTTACTTTGAAATAACAAGGTTAATGACCAACTTTTCAAGCTAGTACCCTCTCCCTATTCCTAGGAAAAATACTTTTTTACACTATGACTAATATTTTCCTTATTTAAAAAATATAACCAGTATCAAATCTTTAGGATAATAAAATATGTTGAACATGGGATAGTGTTGCTGTATAAAAATAAACAAAAAGAGTTTGAGCAATAGACTTGTTAGTAATTCTTCTGGATTTCCTTCGTCGATTTTCGAAATTCTACCAAAGTTTAAATATAATTACAAATTTTACTAAAAACTGAATGATTGGAACTGTAAACTGTTTATGGCCTCATTTTTTTTATATTGCCCTTATTCTGTTGGTGTTAAAATTATATGGGATCAATGATCATATTCTTGAGATATGATGCCTGGAATAGCTTTTGTTCATGTTTAAGATTTTTTTTCATTGCATGTCATTGAATGATATGAAAAAATACATGAGCCTTAACAAACACAAAATTTGCAAAATTGTAATAAAAACACATCGAAACATAGGTTTCAAAATATTTTCGTAAAATAAATAAATAATGAATAGATAAACAAAATGAAAAATAAAATTTATTCCGAATTTCCTCTACATTACCATAAATCTATCTTTGTTCTTGCATTTTTATTTCAAATTGTAAACTTTAAATTTTGATATTGGTAAGGATTTATTTTTTCAATTGTGAACATTTTTTTTTATTGAAGGTATTGTACTTTTAAGCAACCTTGAGTAAACGTTAACCTTGATGAAACTAATGAATTCCATTAAATAATGTAATTAACAAAAACATTTTGTTCTCTGTATAGATTCATGATTAAAATATTCGATGGTTATAATTAGAGCAGTGAACATTTTGTAAATACATGTAGATGTGTTAAAGTAAAAATACTTTGATTAAATAATTTACAGACCAAACACACAGACGGATGGACCCCTGCCTGAATTCTAAAGAAGATGGTAAGCAAAAATATTTTTAGAGAAAGTCTCTCTCTCTCTCTCTCTCTCTCTCTCTCTCTCGAGAGAGAGAGAGAGAGAGAGAGAGAGAGAGAGAGAGAGAGAGAGAGAGAGATTCAATAAGCACTATAAAACCCCCCGAAACACTGCATATTTACATTCTACTTGTATTTTGCTTATAAAGTGTGTGGTAAGCTACAGCATTCAAAACACTACTTACATTTGCCAATGTCTTTCCTTATATGACAATACTAATTAAATTGACATTCAATTTTCAATGACATGTAGTTGGTCACATGATCAGACTATCTTGTGTAAGGAAAGCAAACTGCACGAGCTGTTTGGAAAGTTCGATTGTGACGTAAATTGACGTCGTAGGTACATTATGTTGCATTTCCATAACAAAGGCTTAATAGTGCCTATTTTTCCTTGTAACACGAATAAAAGTAAACTATAAATATTAGAAATAAAATACCATTTTTTAGAGTTTCATTGGGATATGACATGAAGTCGGTACGTGATCAAATCTACTATAACGCCCTTCAGGTGACCGACTTCATGTCATATCCCAATGAAACTCTAAAAATGATATCTTATTTCTTAAGGACGTTCGATCCTGAGCTTTTGAGCAGATTTTGGTCTGGAGCTTTATTTCTAAAATTCTGCATTATTTTTAAGTTCTAACATTAAATCTGGATTCTACAATGCAAATTATACTATATCCAATGAAAAAACGCGATTAAATTCCATTCAAATAGGATTAAGCCAGGAACTATATTTTGTGGCGGAAGATTTTTTTAGAAGAAAATGATCATTTTTTCCCTTTTGAAATATATACAGTACTGTTAAGTTTAGATTCCTATTTTTCCATGCTGGTTGCACACAGAGCTATTTTGTGCATTGATATGTTTAATGCTGGTTCTAAATTATTAATTAAATCAGTTTTGGTGAATTTTATCATCATATTGTGACAAATATAGAAAATATATTCTGAAACTCCAGGAAAAAATTGAGCCAATTTTATCACAAAATTAACAGTTTTTTAGTAATATCTAAAAAATAACATCATAGACCTCCACTTTTGATTTTCTTTTCTGAATATATAAGATAACTCTGATCAATCTACTTAAATTCAGCAAAAGTTTAAGACTTTAAAATATTTTTCTTGCTTGTTAAATTTTTAATGCCCGAAAAATGACATTTTGTGAGTGCAGAAAGGTCAAATAATTGATTATGCGAAGCAATTTGAAAATTTTTCTTTGTCATAATTTTAATGTGCCTTTTTTAAAAGAGAATAATAACATACTTTGTCCCATGATTTATTTGGGAAAAAAATATTGGAGGGAAAACGTCGAAGATGTTATTTTTGATTAAGACACAAATTCAGTGCAAAAAGGTCATTTTAAATGTACTGTAGCGCCAAAAGAAGCATATTGACCCCCATTTTTTGTTTTGATTTTTAATTAAGCTATGTGTGTACAAGCTAAAAATATACTTGACCAAAAAAGTTTAAGACTTTAAATATCAGGATCCAACGTCGTTAAATAACACGAACGGGAGGTCAAAAGGTTAAGGTATGACATTTTGACGTCACAAACGTTGAACGCCGTGCAACGTCATAAGCGAAAATCACAATTCATGCTCATATTGAAAAGTAGCTCTTGCTATGGCTCTTCCATTAATTGTAATTTATTCGAAGGATAATACAAGGATTTTATAATTTTTGAAATCTCTCAAAAAATAATGATTTATTGCTTAAATATCCTATGTGTCGAATCCACTAAATAGATAGAATTGGTCACGGATGGAAATTTACATAGAGCACTGACAATGACCATTGACACGAACAAAAAATGTACTATTGCCAGTGCGAATTCCTTTGAATAAACATACTCATTTATGGAACTTCTCATTCCCTAACATTTTTATTTATCAGTCACGAACCCAATCACGATTATTATTAGCAATTCAAGAAACCGCATTCACTCTCCATTTGAATAAACCAAACAAACACCTAGGTATGTTGCAGGTGAAAGGGTGGAGGCGGCTAAGAATTTGAAGTTATCCAATGCACGTGTACTTTTCACGGCTTCCTAAAAGAAACTAAAAAGAGACGCTATAAAACAGACCGAGAACAGATTTTTCTCAGATTGTTCTCGTTTCCAAAAAAAAAAATCACTTGCACTTGTCTCTCCTAATTTGCTTCATAGGATAATGCAAACGCGATAACTCTTTCTATATATACTCATTGCATTCCAATGTAAAAAAAAAAAAAAAAAAAAAAAAAAAAAAAAAAAAAAAAAAAGAATAAGTAAAACTTAGAATTCATTTATGTACAGTTCCCAATGAGAATTCCTTTGAATAAATTTACTCATTTATGGAATTTCTCATCCCTAAAATTTCTTTTTATTAATCACAAAACCCAATCACGGTTATTGTAATATCGTAGCATTTCAAGAAACCGCCTTCACTCTCCATTTTAATAAACCACAAAACACTTAGGTATGTTGCACTTTGCCACTAATGTGACTTAAATTATTGCAAATAATTGTAATTGATTATGTAGTACTTGCATTTGCCTCTCCTAGTTGGCAAGGCCAAAACCTCCAAGAATAATGTAAGCGTGATAATTTTTTCTATATTCACTCAGGGCATTCCCATGTCCAGAAAAACTTTGAAGTGAAATATATATCGTAAATCTGGAAATTTTTGCTGTAGATAAATTTTTAGCAAATTTGCGCATGCATTGCATTCGCAAAAATATTTTTCTTAAAAATAAATCAACAACAAAAAATGTTTTTATCTAAAGATTACTTAAAGATTACATCGTTATATATATTTTATGTACATGTGTGATTTATGAAATTGTTATGAAAACTTTCAACACTTTGGATGATTTATCTTTTCTAACATTTTTATCTGATTATTGAACGTTGGCGTAGTGTAATAGTGTATGTTTTATTCGTAATTTATTGTATGTACATGCATAACTTACAAACGTTTAAGAAAATTTTAAGAGCTTTTTATATATTAGTTCAAATGACGATTCGCAAAAATTTTAAATGTAAAAATTAATCAACAGACTTTTGACCCAGATTCGCAAAAATAAATCGACGTAAAAATTTATATATATATATATATATATATATATATATATATATATATATATATATATATATATATATATATATATATATATATATATATATATATATATTAGATGCTCGGATGAAATTTTATCGAAATGGGGCCTTGATGGTTATGTTTGCCAATCTGTTGGACGATCTAGCAGAACTTTTTCCAGAATACAAACTCAAAAGGCTTAAATTTTTACTTCGTGGTGAGTGACATGTATTAAATATATTGAGTCATAAGTTTATTTAACGAATAAACATTTAAAGTTGAACAATAGTATTATTTCCATGATTTCGAGTATATAAAGTGTTGTTCCAAACAAGCCGAAATTATGTATTTGACTCTGAAACAAAAGACAAAGAAAATTGACTGAATTGGTTGTGTGACTTTTAAATTATACTTTAGTACACATAACTATGTTTAGAATTGATGGGAAAAGACACAGAGACCATGATGGAAGCAGAATCCATGAGAGAAATTTTACAAGTTTTGAGACAGAAAAATATATTCTCTCCAAAAGACGTCTTAACAATGCAATACTTACTAAGAAAAACAGAATGTGCTGAACTGTGCAACAAATGCACCGATTATGCAAAGAAATGCAAAGCTCTGTGTTTCTTTGAAAATCAACCAGGTAATAGATATTCTTCATTACATGTCATTTCGTTCAAGTTTATTTTCCTATCTAACACTTCTACTACTTTTTGTAGAAAATGGATATAAACAGGCCAGGTTTCATGTAAATGGAAATGTCGAAGATTATTCAAAAGAAGATCTTCTTCGTATACGAGATACGATCGCTGCTATGTTAGACTGTTCCACAGATTCTGTATCTATTGAAGGACTTCGACCATCTGAAAGCTTTGTAGTCGTTGTAGCTATAAAACAGGAATACATAAATAGACTTTTAGAGCGCGCTCAAAACATTTTAGTTCATCTGTGTGATTTAAACGTCGATTACTTTGAATGTGATGGAGTCAAAATCTATAGGCAAGGTAAGACATGTATACGTTTCCATGAACTTAAAACGTAGATGATAGATTGCACATTTGAAACTTCTGATTTTCCGTATTACCGAGCAGTCTAAGACTATTTGTTTTCGTCAAGTTTTTTGTCGGCCTAGATGAAGGTATTGTGAGCTTAATTAGGTAGTATTAATGCACACTATTTTCAAAATTTTGCTTAATTTATACTCCAAGTAACGCACATAAAATCCATCTTAAAACTAATATTTCTCTCTATCATTTAAGATCTGTATTGAAAGAGAATCATTTTGTCTCATTAATGCTATCAAAAGTCTTAAGAATTTTTGCATAAAGTATTTTCATTACCGACACCTATATCTTCATTAAAGGTCAGAAAAATTTGGGGAAGGGAGGGTGTTAGCGTTGCAGTCCATCTAGTATGACCTTTCTACACAGTATTTGGAACACAAAAAATTACTTTTTTGAAACTTTAATGTATTCACCTGCGTGAATTATGACACAACCAATTACACATTCTATGTAATATATCTAAAATAATGAAAAAAAATGTTCTAAATTACTTTCCATTATCAACAGATTTTTCTTCACCCATAAAATGCCATTTTCTGGTATCTATCTTGATTCGATATATTCAACTGAACTCAAAATAAAAACACCACAGTCTGCACATCCGTTTCACATTTGGATGTTTTACAGAGACAAAAACATTTATGGCAAAATAACATCTTAACTCTTTTAAAAACGTGAGGACTCTGACTTTTCTATCGTCAGCTTCCCTCATGTATTTGTAGAAGGTAAGAGAGTGGTATTATGGTAATATGAAAAGGTGTCGGTAATATGTTTAGGTATTTGATTTCCACTTTTCTATTGAAGAGTGGGAAGAAGCAAAGAACACGGGAGAAAGCACTGAAAATAGTCAACATCATCCGTCTGGTAAAGATTCAATCATTGATTTCAATTATATCTCACTAATGTAATGCATTATTGCATGATGGATATCCTTCGGGGAAACCAAGGTTTTTAAGTCAAAAAGTAAATTTATGTAGTATAAAAAAGCGCATTTTTTATATTTGTTTATATATGTTTAATTCAAGTAGGCATTCAAGAACAGAAAGAGAGATACACTATACCAGTTCAGTGCGTCTCTGACATAGACGAATATAATCTAGCATCACCACTTGAGTTTAGCTCGTTGTTGCCTCCTGGACCTTCAATAGCAATTGAAGAAATACCTTTCGATGATGAAAAACATGTACAAGAAAAACAAGATATGGAAGAAACAAAGGAAAAATTATTTGAAAGTTGTAAAATAACGACTGACAATGATGAGAATGAGACAGCTTTAAAAATTGTTTGCCAAAATAAAACAGAAATAGACAGCACGATAGGTAAGGGTTTTTGCAGTAAGTTTGAGCAGGCGTAAAGGTAATCAAAATAAAAGTTTAAAACACTTACCTTTGCTAATTCCTTTGCAGAGTCTGCTTCCTTAGAGGATAAAGAAGTTACTCTGGAGACCTATGAAGATCGGATGTATCAGAATGAATTAGCAGAACCTGCACAGAGAGGAAAAAACTGCATTATCATAGCCCCAACCGGGAGTGGGAAAACTATTGTTGCAATTAAAATTATTGAGGTATACACAATTAAGATACTTCATCATAATATTTTAAAGGGATTTCAATATATTAAAAAATAGATCAGCAATAGATAACTTAAGATATTGTTTTCAAGAGATAATTTTAAAGTGTTTTTCATTTACACTTCATTTCTTTTTATTCAAACAAATCGAATTTCAAAAAAATATTGGCTATTTTCATACTTTAAAAAATCAGATATTTTCTTCATTATGCAATTAAGCATCATCTTAAAGCTAACCTGGGACATAAAGTCAAGAAGATTGCCTTTGTTGTGGACAAAAACAACTTGGCAAAGCAGCAGGCAGATGCAATTAAACGCTATATCGCGTGCAAACTAAAGGTTATATCAGGGGATACAATGCGTGAAGAAGAATTTACACAACTGTCTTCCCTTCTTCCACGGTGAGCTATTCATTAATGATTTTGTAACTGATATATGGTGGAATAAAATATGAATATAATTATTTCTTTTTTTTTAATGCTTTTTGGGGTTTCTTGTAGGGTGACACAAGGTATAACACTTTAGCAGTATTTCATTGAAGTCTCTTCATCTTTTATCACACATTTGATTAAATCCTAAGCAAGCGCGGAGAATTTACTATATTTTTACTTCTAGTGTCAGAACAATTGCAAGACAAGTAGTTTCTACTGACAATTACAGTTAATGACAGTTTTAAGCAAGAACAAAAATCTTAAAAATTATCTTTCATTCAAAATCTTGTAGTTATGGTGGCAGCATTAGTAGTCAATTTTTCATTCCAAAATTTTGCGTTTCACACATTATATATATAGGCCCAATATTTTTTTTTTTAATCCTATAAATATTGCATTCAGAAATGTCTAAATGCTTTTAAAGCAGAATTATAACATCATTAGTGAATTGTGAAAACTCAGAATCCAAATATATGCATGTAGTCGGAAAACAGCTCTTCAGGGTTAATGTTTCTTGTTGTCTAACCCGACCTTAAATAAATATTGTCTTATCTAAGTAGTTTACCACAAAAAGGATAAACAAGAGGCCCATGGGCCACAACGCTCACCTGAGTAACTTTGGCCTTGCTGTTTTTCACCTGATCCCCTCTTGTAGTGTTTATTGTGGCCCCGCCCTACCCCCAGGGGTGATGATTTAAACAATTAGAATCTACACTACCACAGGATGCTTCCACATAAGTTTCAGCTTTTCTGGCCCAGTGGTTCTCGAGAAGAAGATTTTTAAAGATTTTTACTACATATTTCAATGTAAAACTTGGATTCTCTATTGTGGCCCCGCCCTACATCCGGGGGTCATGATTTGAACAATTTAGAATCTACACTACCCCAGGATGCTTCCACATAGGTTTCAGCTTTTCAGGCCCATTGGTTCTTGAGAAGAAGATTTTAAAAGATTTTTACTACATATTTCAATATAAAACTTGGATTCCTTGTTGCGGCCCCGCCCTACCCCCCGGGTTCATGATTTGAACAATTTAGAATCTTCACTACCCCAGGATGCTTCCACATAGGTTTCAGCTTTTCTGGCTAAGTGGTTCTTGAGAAGAAGATTTTTAAGATTTTTACTACATATTTCAATGTAGAACTTGGATTCCCTATTGTGGCCCCGCCCTACCCCCGAGGGTCACGATTTGAACAATGTAGAATCTACACTACCCCAGGATGCTTCCACATAGGTTTCAGTTTTTCTGGCTAAGTGGTTCTTGAGAAGATTTTTAATGACCCCACCCAATTTTTGTCTTTTCTTGATTATCTCCCCTTTGAAGGAGACTTCACTTGAGTTTTCAGCTCAGATGAGCTAAAAAGGCAGAAATAAGTATATTTTTTAAGAAAAATTTTCTTGCTACAAATAATTATGTTAATGGAAAATAATAAATTATTGTATTTTTGTATATTTTATATTTATTTCAATGTGCCAGAAGTCCTTTTACTCATAACAATAAAAGCACTTAATAAAATCATGTTTTTGAGAACAAAGCTGCAGGAAACTGTTATTTACTTTCTTGGTTAATGTTCTTACAATAACAGCAACTTATATTTACAGTTATGTAAAAAGAAAAAAAGGCTTGAGACAGATAGCTTTGAGACCTTTTCATTTCACTTAAGCTCCCAGCATGGGGTATCATAGTTCAATGCAAATTTCACATCTAAAATCTACCAGCTTCAATTGGCTATAAGTTATTGTTGACACATTTAAAGAGGTATGACGCACATAGTATACGACATGGCTTACTTCCCTTTTTGTATAATTAAGTAGTTTTTCTGATATACATTCCAATGGACAGAATGATGTATCTACTTTTCATATAAACGTACTTGTTTTATTTAAGCAGGATTTTGAATAATGTTTTTTTTTAATGCAGAAAGGAGTTACTTTTCTTCTATATCTGAAATCTGGGAAGAAACAACAATTATAGGTGGCGCTTCATCTAGCTGTAATATCGAATTTTGAAAAAAAAAAAAGTATATTTGGATTTGGATAGTTTAACTTACCCTCAAAATTTCAGGAACTTTAGAGAACCTCTTTCCGGACAACTTTGCATGGTTTTACCGTAGATACACTCATAAAGGATAAACATGAACTTGTTGAAGGCATTTTGGATTTTACTTAGTATTTGCAATGACTATTCATTAAAAATGGAGGTATAATTGAATCTGAAGCCCATAGTTAGTTCTGGAGAGAAACTTTTCGATTTTTGTCTTAAACTACTAGTTTTAGAACAGATTATACAATTTTTTTCTGAAAAGTCATGAAAATGACAACTTAGTTAATTCTATGTTTACATTTTAGTAAAATTTAAGTTTAGCCCCATAAAGTGTCATTTTTCGTTTTAAAGATTTTATAATGCCCCTCTAAAGTGATTAAATAAATGCAAAGATTTCTTACGTTGGTGGCAAAAGAAATGAATATCATAGACATTTTACAATATGTTTTATATTTTTGTTTTAATTTATGTTCTTATCTTCATATAGCATGCAACAATGCAATTGTTTACAATAAATCGAAAAAAAATTAATCCAGGTGTACAGTCAGTTTTTATGCACAAGTCTTTATTTCATTTTTCAGGTATGATATCTTTGTGATAACAGCTCAGATGCTCGTCAATGCAATGGATAAAAAAGATCTGAACGTTGAATCATTTACCCTTCTGATTTTTGACGAATGTCACCATTGCCATGGTGGACACTCTTTCTACAAAGCCATGGTTCCTTACCATGATGAAATGCAAAATGGCTTGGGTGACTTTCATCAACAGAAAATTCTCCCACAGGTTCAAATTCAGTAACATGTTTTATATTGAATACAATTTATATACTATATTTACTTGAATCTGTAGAAGGAATAAAATATCTTAATATAAGATATATTTAAACAGATCGTTGGCTTAACGGCTTCCATTGGAGTTGGTAATGCTAAAACCACCGAACAAACTGTAAACCATGTTAAAACTATGATGGCTAATCTTGACGCTGATGTCCTCGTATCTGTCCAAATAAATAAAGAAGAATTGGCCGAAAAAATAAATAGACCATATCAATGTAAGATTTAGTTTACGAACATTTAAAACATAAAATTATATATATATATATATATATATATATATATATATATATATATATATATATATATATATATATATATATATATATATATATATATATATATATATATATATCTTGTGTATGTTACATAACTAATGCTTAACAGGGTGCATATTATTGATCACAAATGGTATTTTTGTAGAAAAAGATGCTTGAGTTTCTTGGATTTAATTCTACAAGTGGTAATCCAACTTATACTCATAGTTCCCTTTCTAAGGAAGAAATTCTTCAAAATCATATGTCAGTTTTAAATATTTTTGATATTCCAAACAACCAAGATGAATTTGAATTACCATATTTATATTGGATTCCGAAACTTCATAAAAATCCTTACAAACAAAGATACATAGCAGGTTCCAGTAAATGTTCAACCAAGCCTCTTTCTTTACTCCTCACTAAGATATTAACAGTAGTGAAGGAGAAACTTCAAGAGTACTGTGCAACAATATATTCGAGAAGTGGTGTAAATCAGACGTGGATACTTAAAAATTCGAAGGAACTTTTGGAAAATTTGAAATCACAAGATTTTACCAAAATCAACAGCTTAAAAACTTACGACTTTTCAACTTTATACACAACCATTCCCCACGATAAATTAAAGTCCAGGCTTTTTGATATCATTGACAGCTGCTTTTTCAATAAAAATGGAACTCGTAAATTTACCTACCTTGTCATTGTCATTTGCAAAATTATTTTGTTTAAAAAACATTCTGATTGTACACACAAGTACTCTGAAGTTGACATTAAAAAGATGCTTGAGTTTTTGATTGACAATATCTATGTGGTTTTTGGAGACCAGGTCTTCCAACAATCTATTGGAATTTCCATGGGTACCAATTGCGCCCCGTTATTAGCAGACCTTTTTTGTATTCATATGAAGCAGAATTTATCCTAAATCTTGTTCGTGAAAAGAAGAAAACACTTGCTGTGGCCTTCAACTCGACATTTAGATATATCGACGTCGTATTGTCAATTAACAATGGCTATTGCCATTCTTATGTCGATACGATATATCCTTGTGAGCTTGAGATAAAAGATACCACAGAGTCTGACACATCTGTTTCATATTTGGATATTTTACTTGAAAAAGACGTTAATGGTAATCTAACAACCAAGCTTTATGATAAACGTGATGACTTTTTCATACAAATTGTTAAGCCATTATTTACACACTGAATTGTCGACGGATTTTTCCGTTATTTCCCGATCATGACAACGAGCACACGGCGGGTGTGACCGGTCGACAGGGGATGCTAACTCCTCCATGGCACCTGATCCCACCTCTGATGTTTGGAGGTCCCTGTTTGCTCTGCTCCTATTTTATATTGTTTGATGGACTTTTGAGCCTGAATACTGTTCATTATCTTCATATATTTCATTGTATAAAGCACTTCAATTGCATTTTCTCTTTTTATGCCCCCGTAACAAAGATTCGGGGGTATATATTTTTTGTTTTAATATATTATCATTTCTATTGATTTGATTATATTGTCAATTATCATCTTTTTTTAAATATTCTCTGATCTATCCAATTCCTGTTTTATTTAACAGATGTTCTAATTCTTTTTAAGCGATTGTAAACATTCCTTCTCGAAAGAGAGACGAATTTGGAGCAAGTATCCAGTCCTTGATGATTAAAACAGAAGATTACTTTATAAAAGAACTAGGTAATTTTCCTTGATCAGTAACGATGAAACTTCTTTATAGCTTTATAAAATCTATTCTTTTGTATTGCATATATATATATATATATATATATATATATATATATATATATATATATATATATATATATATAATATATATATATATATATATATATATATATATATATATATATATATATATATATATATATATATATATATATATATATATATATATAATTTAGGGATAACAAGTTGTAACCGGTTAGTTAATGGGTTTTTCTCGATAAAACAACTATTTTTAAAATTATAAATAACGAGTACTTCTATGTGGTATAGGTAGAATTTTCTGTGTTACTTACTGATTTAACTAAGTCAGATAATTTTTTTAATAAAAATTATGTTCTAAAGCACAATGTCATTGCTTATATAGAAATTGTAATTCAAGGAACACAAGTATTCAGACATATATTTTTTTCAAATACGCTTAAATACAAACGTTTTTGCACAATACATGTAAATTATTATGTACAAACATCACTTTAACATTACATAAAACTTGAAGAACTCAAGTTATAATATTAATATAATATAATATAATATATATATAATTCTTTATTTGCTTAATACTAACGTATAATCACAATTATAAACATTTATACAACAGAAAATTTGGAATTGTATCAAGCTTCTGTATTTAATAAACAGCACATACAATGTAAACAGTTATAAATTATAAACAGATAAACAGGTAGGACACGTGAAGATGATTCACTTTTTTTTTTCATTTCTTAAATTAAAAGCTAAATGCATATGCAAAAATTTACCAAAATTTCAAAGATCAGAAAAGTTTTGGCACATGATAGTATGCTAATTTTAATGTGGCTTGTATTTTTATGCTCCCGTAATCGGTTTTGCCCTTTCCGTCCGATTGTCGGTATGTCTATCTGACTGTGTCTGTTTGTCCGCAAAAACTTTAACCTTGCCCGTAACTTTAGATTGTTACGAGTAATGGCTTTCATATTATACATGTGTATTTCTTGTGACAAGAGCTTTTTTGGGTACCAAGATATGACTCTTGACCTTGACCGTGGAGTTTTTGAGTACCAAGATATTTGATCTCTTGACTGTGAACTGGAGTTTGACTCATTTTTACAAAAACAATTGCAAACTTTAACCTTCACCATAACTTTTGAAGAGTTGGTAATAGGGTTTTTCAAACTTTACATGTGTATTTATTAATATAAGACCTTTTCTTGGGTACGAATATTTTTGCCCCTTTGACTTTGACCTAAGACTTCAACCCATTTTTTAACAAAACTTTAACTTTAGCCATATATTTTGAACAGTTAGTACTAGGGCTTTCATATTTCACAGGTGTATTTTATGTGAGAAGTCTTTGCTCTGGGTATCATTAATTTGGACATTTTGACCTTTATCTTGGACTTTAACCTACTTTTGAAAAAACATTTAAATTGGCCATGACCTTTGAAAGCTGAAGCAAGGGCTTTTTCCTTTCACATGTGTATTTCTTGTGACAAGATCTTCTCCTGGGTACCATTAATTTTGACCCTATTTCCTTGACCTTGGATTTTGACCCACTTTTAAAAAAATTTAAGCTTGGTCATTACTTTTGAACGGTTAGTGTTTGAGTTTACATATTTTACAGATTTCACTGAGACAAGTCCTTTCTTTGGGTAACAACATTTTATCCCTTGACCTTAACCTTGGAGTATGACCTGCATTTAAGAAACTTCGCCATAGGTATCAGTGTTTCACAAACACATCTCGATTTTTGAGTAATAACTTTTAATATATTAACATCTCAAATCTTTATATAAGGGACAAATGAAAACAAAATGAAATTCGCTTTTCATGTTGCTTTTACAAAATTCACAAAATTTGTGTTGTGTTAACAATATTTCTAAGACACCCAGTTTCAATGAAAAGGTTATAAGAAGATATTCTTATTCTACTTAATTGCTTTTTTATGAAGAGGAGGTATTGGCCTTATTAAATAATTTGTACGGTTAAATAGTCCATTATATGCTTGTAAAAAATATTTTGTTGACCATTTAGTTTCAGCCATGCGATTTGTACTGAATTGTCTTTTTATTCTTTGTTTGACAATAGGAAAATAAAGTAATTGACGTATTTAATTAATTCATTAAATATTATTAACGTATTTAAAGTACTTAATTCTTTGAAGCTCATCTTTCGATTCTGGAAAACTGACCACATCATTTTCATACATTGAAACAAATAAATTTAATTCTTATAAATCTACAGGCACGTTTCCCTGTTAAATGGACTTGTCGTATGCTCTTAAAAATCGTAATTTCATGAAAAATATTATCTACGACTTTTCTTCAAGATACTGAATACAACGAATTTCTCAGGAAAATTTAAGAGAAATTTTAAGTTGAAATACAAATACGGCGAAAACCATATTTCAGTCGGATTTCATCACCATGTTGCTATGAAGTCATGGGCGACAATTCGATGATATTGAGATGAAAATCTGTATACGTCAGACATAAACAAAGTTATCAATGACAAATGCAGCATAATTAAGAAAAGTGCAGAAAAAAAATTTCTTACGTGCTTTTCATTTACTATAGAAATATGAACTACATGTAATTGAAAGTATCCACATATCGATTAAAAAATGAAGTTATAATGTATTACATGTATAACCTGCCTATGATGGGGGTGTACATTGTTAAGTCATGTTAATAAGAAGATAAAAACAGAATAAGTAATGCGTGAGGAAATTGCTAATTTCAGCTAGCGGGGCATTTCATTTTAATCGTTGTCTTAAATTATAGATGATAAAGATAATTAGTAGAGTGCTCGCCACCTTTTCAAACTACAGGTGTTATTTTATTTTCCCTGGCCCTCTTCTAATTTCAACGATTAATCAGTCGCTTAAGTTATTTACATTATGATTTTATAAAGATTGTCAAATAAAAAAAAAAACAAAATTCTATAATGTTAAATTTGTGAATTTAGTTGGAAAATGCGTGTTTTAAGACGACAAAACAAATTGTAAAAAATAATTGAATAAAATAATATTACATCTATTACAGAGAATATTGTGGGCGAAAACGTAGTGATTCCACCAGCTAAGAAGGGCAATGAACAATACACCCAATGGCTGCAAGATGATGTTAAAAACTTAATAGCAAACACTAAAGATAAAACCTTAAGTCGTATGCTGCATACAGCCTGGAGATACTTACAGGTGTTTTTATTCACTTTAGCAGTTGTATTTTAAAATCCAAATTTTATAATTTTTAGTGATTAATAATATTGACTTTATATTCCTTAGATTTATAATGAAGGTTTGATTATGCACTCGTATCTCAGAGCACGTGATTCCCTTGACGCTATCATTCAAAAAACTGAAGAACTACCAAAATCATCCAGTGAATTAGAGCAACACATAAAATTCCTATTTGAAAGTAAGTTGTAAAATACTCACTATTCCTTAGCAAAATTAATTGGGTCAAACTGTATTGAACTGTTGCAACTTCATATACATGTACTTGTATTAGCTGCTTTTAAATTTTACAAGAATTAAGATGGAGAAAATTCAAGGCCACTGCTTTATTGGGTTAAGGTAAAAGCAATAAATCAAAGAGGAATATGTCAGTTGTGGAACCTGCCTCTTAAAGAACATTTTAGCTGTATTTGAAATATATATACTTCTCAGTTTAAAGCAGTATTAAAAATGCTGATTTTTAGTTACGATTTAAAATCTACCAAAATGATAAATCTTTCAGAATTCTTCTTTAACAAATGACTTTCAATTTACATATGACAAGTTGTATTTGAAACTTACCGGGTAGTTTACATTGTATTATTAATTGACTATGTAATTCATTCGATTGAAATATCCTTGTTTTTTTTAATGATCAAATCAAATTTCAGATGAGAAAAGTAATCTACAGGTGTCTGCAACAGACAACACAACGACAAAAGAAAATCCTCTTCTACTCAAGTTGAAAGACATAATAATAGACACGTATCAGACCGAACCAAACATGAGGGGAATAATATTCGTTCGCACACGTGAGCTTGCAGATATTCTTGTACAGTGGATGAGCAGTATTGAAGAACTGAAACACATAAAGGCCAAAACATGCACAGGAGCAAACGCGAAAAGGTCTGAGGGAGGTGAGATCTATGTACCATTGACTCTAGACATAACAGAATAAAATATCAATAAATGCATGTACTTGTTAAATATTAGTCCTGTCATTTAAGAAATCTTTATATATTTAACAAAAATTGCGTCTTAGGAATGACGAAAAATAAGCAGAAAGAAACCATCGACTTATTCAGGAAAGGAGATTTCAAATTGATTGTGGCCACAACAATTGTTGAAGAGGGATTGGACATCAAAGAATGTAATCTTGTTGTAAAATATGATTATGCTGGAAATGCAATCGCACAGATTCAAGCCAAAGGTATTAATAAGGAAACCATTTGCAAATCGAAATTTCTAAATTCTTTGCTATTTATGTTAAAATATTGAGGTTAAAATCGAAGCTAGACATACATCATGATTAAACAATTAACAAATACATGGGTTATTTCAAGAAAGACTCTGATTCAGAAGGCAAATGAACATTATACAGTAATAAACGCTTAAAATGTATTCAAGACGTTCTTTGAATTTAAAGCATATTATAAACTGAATCAGCTTTATAATGAATCAATCTTGTTAGTTCCTGGCACTTTGCTACAAGCATATTTAACTGTAATCTATTTATTAATCATATTTGCACAAATTTAAGGACGAGGACGTGCTGATAAAAGCAGATTCTTTATTCTGGCATCTGAGGACAAATGCGTTGCAGAGAGGGAGTGGATTAACTCTGAGAAAGAACCAATGATGGATGAGGCAATGACAATTGTTCAAATGGAAATCCTGACAAATAACGAAAAATTTCAAAAAGAAAAACGAGAGCTACAACAATCGGCAAAGATACAAAGAGAAGCTGCAGCTTCCAACAAAGAAAGAAAAGAGACTCCCAGCGGACAGTATGAACTCAGGTACTCCAAGTAGGCTTCTAAGATATTTTCACGATTTTATCCTTGCCTTCATGTGTCCAAACCAGCTAAAGATTAGGGTGTAATTCCTAAATGTAAAGACATACGTTGAAAAAAAAAGCTAGAGAGAAAGTTGCTTCTCTGTCTTATAGTTGGAGTCGATTGTGAACTTTCACATGTAAAAACAAGATGTGTTTGTGAGACACTGATACCCCTGTATGAAAGCTCAAGGGCAAGGTTGCAATTTTCAAATTTAGGTAAAACTATAAGATTAAGAATTCAAAAATGTTGGTATCCCAAAAAAGGTCTTGTCACAAAAAATGAACATGAAATATGAAAGCCCTAACACTAACCATTCAGAAAATATGCCCAAGATTAAAGTTTTTCAAAAGTAGGTCTCAATCTAGAGTCAAAGTCATGAGGTTAAAAAATATTAGTTCCGAAGAATTGTTTTTGTCACAAGACATAAATAGGTGAAATAAGAAAGCCTTACCTCCAACCGTTCAAAAAGAAATACACGTAATGTATGAAAGCCCTAGCACCCGCCTTTCAAAAGTTATGGCCAAAGTAGAAGTTTTTCAAAAGTAGCGCAAACAAAAGGTCTCCTTTAAATGGTCAAAAATGTTGTTACCAAAAGAAAGGTCTTTTGATGTTACCAAAAGAAAGGTCTTATTACATGGAAGCAAACAAACTAAGAAGATAGTTATGATATGCAAGGATGCTCCTTCCAAACTCCGAAATTCATGGTCCCTGGGTCATGCTTATATAGTGAAAGTGCATTGTTTCTTTGAAAATATTGTCTTCCCCGGGGTATATAGCAAAAATACCAAGTGTATGATTTTGATGAGCAAGGGTTCATGTACCTATATCAAAATTGTAAATTTCATGGCCCAGGGTCAGAGTCCCTGTGTGAGAACGGGTATTTGTTGTTTGTATAGTGAAATTCATCAATTCTTTAAAAATCTTCTCTGCTCTTTGGTGTTTAGCTGATAAGCTAAATATAAGGTTATGATAAGCAAGGGTCCCTCTCCCAAAAGGGGCCAGGGGTTATGGCTAGGCTCTTTCGATTATATATATAATATATATATATATATATATATATATATATATATATATATATATATATATATATATATATATATATATATATATATATATATATATATATATATATATATATATATCTTGGGTCAGGGATTCTACATTCTACTGGTTGGGCTGGGCTCTACTGATCATGTAGTGAAGATACATCATTTCTATGACAATCTTCTTTGCTCCTGGGTATTTAGCAGACGTACTTAATGCATGGTAACGATGAGCATAGGTGCCTCTTCCAAAATTTTGAATTTCACGTCCCCTGGGTCAGGAGCTCTAGTGTTAAGGCGGGGCTCTATTGAATTTATAGTGAAAATGCATGAGTTCTTTGAAAAATTCCTTCTCACTCCTGGGTATTTAACAGATAAACTAAGTGCATAGTTCTGATGAGTAAGTGTGACTAAAAAAAGTTGTGAAATTGTGTGGCCCATTTGGTGTTAGGGCTAGACAACACCGATTAAAGTGAAAATACTTAAATGCTTTGAAATTGTATCTGCTCCTGAGCATCTAGGAGGCAAACAGAGTTCAAAGTTGTAATGTGCAAAATTGTTTTACCAGGTTTGTGAAATTCTGTCAAGTTCGGTCAAGTATGGTGCTGGGTAGGGCTCTATTGATCTACTGATCTTGGGAGAGAATTATTGCACTTAACGAAATACAAAATTTGCGACAAAATCAACTTTCAGAAAGAGGGTATTCTTTCAATTGCAAGAATGTTTAGCATCTAAACTGAAACTTTTCATAATTTCAATCAAATAAAGTTTGTATTTATGAAGTGCGAATCCGTTTTAGGCAATGGTCAAAACGATTTCTTGAATCTCCACATGATTATGAGAACGCCTACTTTTTGTTTCTAACTAAATGCAAAGTCAGCGCATATCTGTCTGCTGTTTTCCATTTAATGGTTGTTGAATATTTGTGCATATAAATTTGTTTTTAAAAGAAATACGTTCATGGTTTTAAAGAGCAAAAAAGTTTCTTCTTAAGTTCTTTCTCTCTATTGTAACCAAGCATTGTGACCTATAGCATATTATAAATCACCACGTGATTTCTTTCCTCGGTAACTTTACGAATACTTAATTCCGTCACGTGAGGTGTTGGGTAGCTTGTCACGTGCTACACCAAATGAGGTACTCTGGAATTTTGTTTGAACGCAAAAAATTATCAAACATTGATTTACGAACATCTGATCCCACTGTGGTACGTGGAGACCGGTAATTCGGATAAGACAGTATAAACCAAGGTCACGTGTCGCAGTAGGTGCTGGCACAAAAAGATCCCTCACTGCTCAAAATGCCAAGTGCCGAGCATAGGTCAAAATTTGCAGCTCTCAAGTGGTGGCGTCTCCATATGATTGAAAAATTCTCCAGAGGGACGTTAAACAACAAACAAGCCAACAAACAGCTGTACCTATAGCTTTATATGTGTGTGACCATGCTGTTAATTTCGTAATGAAATCTTTGTAAATACTGCCGCCATTTGGAAAGGAAGAACGATAGATATATCACATTTTTTTCTATACACGTATGACTTCCTTTTGATTAAGTCTAATTTTAGACTCCATCTTCCTGTATTAGCTCCACCTTCCATGCATATTTACCAACCTTATCATCGATCAAGGGCAGGTAAATGTAAATTCTCGAAATTTTCAAAGCAGTAAGGGCGAAAAAATACTTGATTATTTTATTGTATCAGTCTAAAATCATGTTGACACTCAAATTCGGTTCCAAAATGAATAAATTCTTTGACAAATTAATTCATGGAACTAAAATTAAATAAGACATGAAATAAACAGAAGCTACAAAAAAGACCCCCAAACTGGGTGTTAAGTGCAATCATCCTTTTACTACTCTGTACTACTGAGAGAAATAAATTTATTCAAATTTGATTTTAACCTACGATAATTAATCACTGTAAATAATGTAATTGATAGATCAATTAAATAAAAGAATTATACAAGATTTTTTTAGGCATAATACAAAAAGTACTTTGATAGATTTTTAATGGTCAGGTAGACTTGTAAATAACAGATAAACAAGTAGAAAGCTGTCAATTGTGTGAGATCAAAACGGGGTTTCTTTCGTGTGAACAGTACTGGTACATGTGTAGTTCTGATGTAAATTTAAATTAGAAAAAATTAAAATTAAGTCGATCTTTTCTGAAAAACTGTATGAGGTGAAAACCCAACAATACCACTGTACTTAAGAACATATTTTGCATTAAATTGACCAAGTTCACAAACTTTTATTTTTCTCATAAATAATCATAAAATAAAATTCAATTACTATTTACATCTCTAATATATGTACAATTTATCTGAAAAATAAAAAAATTATCTTGAAAACTCTAGGTGAAGTTTCCGGACAAATGGTGTAAGCATTTTTTGCATAAAAATTACTATGTCCAATAACTGCAGCTGATATTTTTTCTCATACGGTATATCCCTGATATATGTACAACTGATCTGCAAAATAAGAAGTTCTTATCTTGAAAACTGTAAGAAGAGTTATCCGATCAAATGATGTATATTTAAACAGCCACCCACCCATCATTTTACTATTTCAATAACCGGATTTTTTTCTACGAAAAACCCCGGTTAATAAAAATGAGACAAAATACCTTATCTTTTTACATTAAATGTTCTTTAAAGACGGGGGGGGGGGGGTGTCATGTAAGAGGAAACGAGTGTACCATATGTGTTCAAGCACTGTTATTTTTCTTTTTAGTCTACATGGTGACAGTCACAAATGGGAGTGTATTGGGACTGGCAAGTTTAGGGAATTTTGTTTGTTGTTTAACGTCCCTCTCGAGAATTTTTCCTCAAATGGAGACGCCACCACTTGCCGGTGGAGAGCTGCAAATTTTGACCTATACTCGGCACTCATGGCCATTGAGCAGTGAGGGATCTTTTTCGTGCCAGCACCTACTGCGACACAGGACCTCGGTTTATACAGTCTCATCCGAAGGACCGCTCTTTACGTCCCACAGTGGGATTCGAGTCCGCGACGCAAGGATAAACTCCTTACTCCGCGACTCTAGAGCAAACGCTCTAACCACTGTGCCTCGCGGGCGACAATAAAAAGAAGTTAATAGATCTTTCAGATTTGTAACTGAGTTCTAGAATAATTATTTTTTTAATCCCTGATCTTCCGCTTTCTCTTTCTTATTGATCTGGCAGTTAATTTATTTTATTTTATATGGATCCTTTACAGTGTGCTATAACATTCACTGACCGTTAAGGCCCTTTAGTTTTGTAGGTTTGCTGGGCTTGAAGATACAATGTTTATATATATATATATATATATATATATATATATATATATATATATATATATATATATATATATATATAAATGATCAGTTAGCCACATTAACTGTGCACCAAGTGGATGAATTTTAATGAATTTTACATTTGTGGTAGACAACACCGTATCATGTATACAGTTTATCTGCTAAACGTCCGGCAACAAAGAAGACTTTAGACATTGCTTTAATTTTTTAAGCTTTGGACCCTCTCTCAGCCTCAGAAGACCATGAATTATATAAACTTGAGTAATTGTTAAAACGTATTTTAAATAACAAACCATTAATATGCACTGTATTCACTTTCAGATGCTTGAAATGCAAAACGATTCTGTGCCTGTCCAGTGAAATGAGGAAACTTAAAGCTCATTATGCATGCGTAAACGGTGACTTTAAAAATCTTGTTTTCTTCGAAAGAAGTGAAAAAGTTGGATATGCAGGAGACGATATTCAGGTTGGTCTTGGAAAACTGAAATGCAAGGAGTGTCAGGAGAAACTTGGAGTCGTTGCTCTTTACAAAGAGGTGCACTTCCCCATTTTGCAAATTAAGTCGTTAAAAATTGAGAATAACCAGAAAAAAATGTTTATACCGGTAGTTAAGAAATGGAAAACAGTAGAAGAGAAGTATTTTACAGTGCCTTCTATATCTTTGGATGATTTGCAAAAGATTTCAAAAACCGGAAAATTACTCAATTTGGATTGAGTTTTTAGGGAAGGTCATGACATTTCATAATTATTAAAACATTCAGTTTCAAAATTCAAAACAGTTAACTCCCAAAAAATTAAAGTTTGATCGTTTTTGTAAAATACTTTTTTCAATTCTACATTAGGGAAACCTCCCTATTTTGCTTGTATTCAAGATATCTGCCGAATACAGTTCTATATGAAAATTATCATTGCTGTTTTTGAATCAAAATCTGATAGATTGATTTGTAATCGGCATATATCTTATTTATCCAAGAGCATAATTTGAAGATTAAGCAAAGTTTCCTCTGTAAATACACCAAATAACTGATTACTATAGATTAGTTTGTTAAGGATATGATGTAAGATAAATTATTACAATAAAGACCTGATTTATTTTGAATGTCCTATATGGACGTTAAAATATTAACTTGTACAGTAATTATGATATTCCTGCATATCGTATTCAGTTATTCATATGATGAATTTGATTTTTTTTGGTCGCCAGAGTCACTCAGGTGACCTATTGCTATCTGTTTTCGTCCAACGCCGTTCGCTGTCCATCGTGTTAACATTTGAACATTTTCAACTTCTACTCTGAAACCGCTGAACCAATTACTACAAAATTCATGGCCCCAGGGTCAGGATTTCTGTTTTTAGGACGGGATTTTACTGACAATATAGTTAATTGCATAAATTCTTCAAAAGTCTTCTTTCCCTCTGTATATTTAGCAGACTAAATAAGAGCATGGTAATGATGAACAGGATGTCTCTTCCAAAACTGGGAAATTTCCAGGGTAAGGAATTCTGGTGTTTGGGCGGGGCTGTATTCATTATTTAGTAAAAATGCATTATTTCTTTGAAAATCCTATTAAGCAAATAAACTAAGCGCATGGTTATAATATGCAAGAATCCCACTTACAAAATTTTAAATTTCATAGCCGCTTGGTTAGAAACTCTGGTGCTAGGGTACGACTCTATTGATTATATAGTGAAAATGCATTTTTTTTTCTGGGTATTTAGCATATAAACTACATGTAAGTGCATGGTTATTATGAACAAGGATGCCTCTTTCAAAATTGTGAAATTCATGGCTGTTGCGTCATGGATTTTGGTGTTAGGGCAGGGCTTTATTGATCACACAGTGAAATGCTTAAATTCTTTAAAAATCCTATTTACTACCCCTGAGTATTAAGCAGAAAAACTAATTGCATAGTTACAGTGTATGATAAGCTAGGGTGCCTCTTCCAAAATTGTGAAACATGGTCCATGGGTCGGGGTTTCTGGTGTATGGATGACTCTATTGATCATAAGTGGAAATGTAGAAATCCTTTAAATATCTCCTTCTCTCTCCCTATACATTTAGCAGACAAAGAAGAGTATATGATTACGATGAGTAAGGGTGCATCTTCCAAAATTGAAATTATTGGCCCCTATATCAGATATTCTGGTGTTAGGGCAGGGTTCTATTGATTACATAGTGAAAATGTATTATTTCTTTGAAAATCTTCTTCTCTGTTTCTGGGCAACTAGGAGGCAAACAGGGTACAAAGTAATAAACAGCGAGGGTTTTTTTTTTTACCAGATTTGTGAAATTCTGGCCACCAAGTCATGTGTTCTGGTGCTGGACCGAGCTCCAATGATCTTGTAGGGAAATCTGTACTGAAGAGATGTTATTACCCTGTGATATTCACCTACATGTATCATAATTAATCATTGTAAATAATGCAACTGATAAGGCAATTAAATAAAAGAATTATACGAGGATTGTCCCAGAAAAACGCGATCATTTTCAATATTTTTGTTTCACTAATATTATAAAGTCAAATTTGGTATGCACTATAATCAACATTTTTTGCACAATTCACAGAAATTTCAATAAAATATCTCTATGAATAACATTTTTATATTGGATCAACGAATCATTCAAAATAGCTGTCGGCGCAACACCGACGACGTCAAAAACGTAGCTCGTGGAGTTTTTTTAATTTGTTCAGGAAACATGCATCTTTATAAATTTGTTCGAAGCATAAATTCGAAACTGCACATGCTACAGTTAAGAATAAAGCAAGGAATTAATTCTTTTAATAGACAATTTGCCAATCATAAAAAAATATCTTCTCGCATAGTTAACGGAGGTCTCCACGTATGACGTCCAGCTCTAGACTTTTTAGTTGTTATTTTTGTAAGTCTACTAAACGATTCTTCCATCGAATAACTTAGTTCATTCATCCTTGAACCTCTTTTACTATGTATAAACCAGTGTTCGATACATGTATTTGTGTAGTTCCCTCTTTCCCAGCTCTTTCCCCGTAAAAACAGGGGTCCTACCACGCTCCACACAGTACTGAGCGATAATTTGGTGCATCGCATTATCGCCCGATGTCGTCGTTTTTGACAATATCTAACTAATAGTGTTTGTGCATATACGTTCGTCATATTTTTCTTATTTTAATGTCAAAGTATTGATGTTTTTGCACACGAGTACTCTAGATCATACATTTTCTATGGATGTAATTTTCATCACATTATATTTCGCTTAAGCTGGATTAATGAAGAAAACATCGCTGTCAATGCAATCAATTTTTGAAGGTCAAGAAATCGCTGTACGATGACCACCGATATTTAACACCCTTTAAATGTTGTTTCTAAATGCATATAACGTTACAACCTTATATTGTTTAGCCAAAATGACGAAAATATCATTTCCCAACATTGTGCCAAAAATGAATAATTTTGGTCAGATAGTTTATGAAATATTTAAAAAGTTCGCGTTTTTCTGGGACAACCCTCGTACAAGAATTTTAAATGTTTCGTACAAAAAAAACATTAATAGTTTCCAATGTTCAAATAGACTTGTAAATAATAGATAAATAAAAATGGGACAAAAGTACTTCATCTTTGTACTTTGAATGATCTTCAAAGACCAAAGGAGGCCATTGTGAGAGGGAATGTGATGGGTATACTTTATGAGCTCAAGCACCATTGTTTTGTTTAATCTGCATGGTGACAGTGACAAATGGGAGTGTATTAGCATTGGCAATTATAAAGATTTGCTAATGAGTACTAGACTAAATATTCTGCTGATCCCTGATCATCCTATTTCTGTTGCTTTTGGGCAACATAGCTTCATCTATCAGTTTATATTTGTTTTATTTCATATACTTCTATGGATCCTTTACAGTGTTATACTCAGGTGACCGTTAAGGCCCTTGGGTCTCTTGTTGTTATGTTATAACCGTACACAAATAGTACAAAACGACTTTAATTCATTACAGCATTACATATATGAAATTCCTTAGCACGCGCGCAAGAATAAAGGTGTGTTAGATGGATACTGACAATTTGTTAAAAAAAAATGGGGATCTATTTTATTTCATATTTTAATCCATTTTTTTTCCTTAGAAATTACATATAATGTGCAATACAAGAATTGATTATACAATGTACAAAGTAAAAAAAAAATGACAATAAGTTTTTAATGTTTAAGCTGTAATATGTAGGATATTATTTAATTTTTTGTATATACAAATATTTAACGGTTTTTCTTTGAAGCTACTATGTTTCATGTCAGACTCGTGCAGATGCGATTACGTTTATATACGTTTGAAATGTAAAAGTTGGATTAATATATATCAGTTACTACATATGTGTTACTGTTACGTATACATTTAATTTATACAGCTTCTGAAGCTTTAATGAAAGCGCTTAAGCTTTGCGGAGAATTTTTGTGTTTACTTTTCATACTAATTTAGTCTTATCCAAGAATTAAGATTTTATTGGACCTTTTGATATGTATAATTTATTGACTCCACATGTTTTTTTTTAATTATTTATTTCATTTCTTGTTACAAAGATGAAAGAATCAAATATCACAGAAAGGCTTTTTAAATTGTTACAGATTAAAGTTAATACAAGTGTCTTTTATTAATTTTCAATCTAAAGTTGAAAATGACTGTAGTCATTTTCAACTTTAGATTGAAAATTAATAAAAGACACAAGTACAATATATTTATATGAATTAAAATTTGTTGTGTTGATTTCATTTATCTATTTATTATTTAAAATCTTACCTTTAAATATCTTTTTATCCAATTATTTATGATTGACGTCTTTGATGAAAATTGATATTTTTTTTTATTTCCACTTGTTGAAAATTTGACATTATTATTTTTCTAAACCATTTAAAATGAAAAATATCAAGTTGATGATGTATTAGTAAAAAGGTTCATAACGTGTTTTGTTTGTATTTGAATTTATACATGTCATTGATAAATATAAAGTGAAATATACGATTTATTTGATTGTTTGTGATGGTTAATAAAAATATAATAAACTGATGATTTCAAAATACAAAGATTGCTACCACAGACTATTGTGACATTTTTTTTCCAAATCGGAAACGGTCTGCAAACACAACTGTTTCATTTTTAACATAAAATTATTTGAAAATGTGTTATCATTTGTATATCCCCATCAAAATTTCAAAATTCTTTAATCAATAACTTTTCGTCAAGGTCTTGATATATTATAAATGGCTGAATATTTTCTACGAAGTTAATACTCACTACATGGATAACCTCGGCCAAATTCAAATCAAGTGATCTTGATTTATAAGCTGTAATGATACAAAATCTTCTTATAAAATCTTCGATGAATGATTTGATTTGCAATTTCAGTTTTTAAAAAATTGCAAAAAAAAGAAAAGAAAAAAAAAAAAAAAAAAAAAAAAAAAAAGTGAGAAAATAACAATCTGTAATACCGCTGATCTGTTTTAACCACAGGCACATGACGTTAAATTATTTTTTTATAAAAAAAAAAAAAAATAACAACCCCATACCTAATTTCTTTTTTTTTAAGAAGAAAAATATGTTTTGTCAAGTGCCTGTGGTATCAACTTCTTGTATTACAAGTCAACTTAGATATTTTTTGTTTTTAAAAAAAATATGTATTATGCTAAATATTTTACATTATAGAACAGTCATTTTCATGCTGAGTAGTCGGAGAATTATAAAACACAATACAAAAAGCTATAAAGTTCAGTCCAAAAGGAAACTAGTAAGAGAATTGCTAAATACATGGATTGCGCCTTTTAGTTATCGCTCTTTACTTAATGTAAGACAGATCTTGCATACCAACCTCTAACGGAAACGATGTTTTAATCATATAACTAGGTTATTTACAGCTATTTATTGAAGATGGTGTTAAACAAACTTGACAAAAATTGAAGTTTTTTAAGTTTTCATGATTCCATTATTTGGCATTATAATTTTTTATAAGAAAAAAATATGAAAGATACTTTATTATGAGAAGTTACTTAAAATTGTGAGAAATTTATATTTTTATTAAACTTCAACAAGAGTTTGATACTTTAAATCCAGAGGGAAATTTGACTACATGTATGTTATCAACTATATGAGTACTTGTGTGACTTTTTTACTCACATATTTTGGATTACGCCGATTTTGGCTAAACATGTCTTTGTCCTTTAGTAGAATACTTTGTAATTGCAACAAATTGAATCAATTCAATTTGAATTATTCGAAATTTAAATGAAATCGAAAAAAAAAACTGTGCACTACATTTTGTTCCCGAGTTCTGGAGTGAAAACGAGCAAAACACTTATATCATTCATCAGAATATTCTTGGGGGGAGAAAAAATATATAAAGACTGCTCCCGATGTACTAGGTTCAACTCCGATCATTTGTATACTTCATTCATGTTTTTCAAGTGCGACTCAAATACCTGTGTGTAATCTTCAGCCCAAGTTGATACTTTGCGGGTATCCCCAATTATCCCCTAAACTCTACACTGGAGAGATCCTGCTGAGGGTAAAATTGGGTCCATTATGGATCCTACAGGTGAAGAAAATGACATTCAATCGCGCGGTTTCAGAGCTGGGTTTGAATAAAGCAGTAAATGTTCAGAAGACTTCAAAGGAGGGGCTTACAAAAGGACAAAAAGAAAAATCGTGGCCGCACTGCACATGACAAATAATGCTAGGCGAACTTTAAATGTTCATGAATGGAGGTTTATCTGTGAGAAAGTTTTGACTTCTGTTCTTTCCAAAAAATTTTTATTAATGGATTTAGCATAGAACTTCTTACGTATTCTAATGAATACATGTAATTATAAATTTTGATCAGGTCAAGAAAGATTTCGAAAATTCTTGAAAGTATGTAGAGTCATACTGATATTTATTGAAGTATTGTAACATTACCGTCGAAAATCTTATTTCTAAACTAACACAATCCAATATAGTTCAAATATTTATAATCACTGTGCACTGTTAGTTACCCCTTTCCCAGAATGATCTTGATAGTATCTCTAGAACCATTTTCACCTGACCTTTCAAAAAATGCATTCATTTTCCACATTTTTCTATTTATTTATTTACAATATACATTTTATTTACGAAGTTCTAAATCTACATCGACAGTTGAGGAAATAAATATTACTTTCATCGCTTGAGTTGAGGGATGTTGGTGACGGCGGGGCCTGTTCTTAACTGAAAAAAAAATCTGCCTAGAACATTATATTCTATTTTTTAAAGAAAAACTTAAATTCTTCAAATGAATATTTTACGTGTTTTAATGCGCGTTTTTTCTTTAATGTACATAGCATGTCAACAATCGTTCAGAAAGTAATCAAGTTAATTTTTCTTTGTGTCGGAGATATTTTGGAAAATGATAAAGTCTCGTGTTCAAGAAATTTTTGAACAGATAATGATAATTGAATGTGTTTATGGTATATCGATAATACAAAGGATCATCTTTATATTTATACATATTGAAGTTTCCGATTCCGAAGTTTCAACACCTACCTCAACAACCTTGGATTGTAAGTATCTCCTGAAAAAGAAATTAAGTCAAATGTAAAATACTGTTTAGTTAAACGTATCAATCTTAACACATTGATGTATACGTAATTTTAGGATTATTCAATGTACGTACATTGGGAGCATGCTTTGGAGATATGAAAACGATGAAGAAAATTGATGAATGGCTTATATTTGCTGATCTTTTAAAAGAAAAAAAATAACTTCTAGTAGACAGTCTCAGATTCCACGCAATAAGTTCTAGGAAATGTTGTTAAAGTTTTGACTCAATATAACACATTCTCAACTATCCAAATTAATAAGGATTTCTTAAAGGATATATTAAAATTACAGTATTAAGGCAATACATTAATTAAGCAATAAGTGTATTATTTTCCCCGCTTTCAATAGTTCATTTTGAGATCTAATAGACAAATTTTAAGATTAATTTTTTATGGGTAAAAATAAACTTTTCTCCTCATTGTGTTTTGTTTATTCGCTGATATTTTTGTGTGATAACACGAATTTCTCATTTGTTGTAAAAGTGAGCGACTTGAAGATAACACGCCAAAGGTAGTTAGCACCGCCCCCTGATTTTTTTCCTTTCCCGATTGCATTGTGTAGTCATAATTTACAATAAACTGACGGCTACGAACAACCAACTTCTATAATTTGAGTGCAGCCCTTTAATTAAAGTTCCATTACATTTCATTTGATTGAATATACCATGCACGCTTGGTTTCGGAGTATTTAAACATCATGTGTCGCTGATCCAAAGCCACAACGCTATTTGACCGGGACGTATATTTCATACATGACTACGAATTCTCAGAGGAAAAAATGTAATTTTGGATCTTCTTTATTTTAATATTGGGAAAATACTATCTCTTTTTTATTTTTAAAAATGAAGAAAAATAAAGAAAAATTCGGAATGTGTTGGAAAATGTGGTTGCTGAGTATTTTAACTCCCTCCCTGTGTTATAAGTTTAACAGTCGTTCAACAGATACTTGTGAACCCATAGAGATACCCATGTGTCAACACATGCCGTACAATATGACTCGTATGCCCAATCTTTTACATCACAGTTCTCAAGAAAACGCTAAACTCGCCATAGAACAGTTTCAGCAGTTAATAGACCAAAATTGTAGTGATGTCATATTGTTTTTTCTATGTGCCATGTATGCGCCAATTTGTACTGTTAACTTTCAACATGCACCTATTCCCCCGTGCAGGAGCGTGTGTGAGCGCGCACGTGCAGGGTGTGAGCGAATTGTAAATTATCACAATATTTCGTGGCCGGAGTATTTAGACTGTTCACGTCTTCCGCGATATGATCGGGGAGTTTGTGTTTCACCAGCAGCTATTGTTCAATCTACCAAAATCACAAGTAACGGGACCGGAAGTGAGTATATTTAAATTTAATAAACAATTAAATACATTGTTTTATTTCTTTCAGTCATTCTATATCATGCAAATATGCAGTTTGGGTAAATACGGATGTATGATTTTCATAACTTGCCTACATACAATGCGGTTTTGCTGTATTCTTCCGTCTAATATTAAAGATTATATATATGTATAAATATTTTACTTCGTTGAACAATCTTTAGTATTTATATTTCAATCCCCCCATCCTAAACATTCAATTACCTTTATCTAACTTAAATTTTTAACATCATTTCTTTCCAAATATTTACTTAATGACTTCATATATTTGTCCGACAAATAGAATGTCAAAGCCTGCAAAAGAATACGACTAAAAGTTAAAACCATGCCCTGGTGTTTGTGTGAGAAGTGTTTTAATCGGGCCTTTGATCGCAGTTATTAAATATTCCATAAAACTGATAATCCCTTGATTGAAGCCTACATTATCGATAGAGTCACTCCAAATAAAACACTAGCACGGACATCAATCTCTCTTGACGACCTCAAACACTGCGCCTGTCTAAATATTGACCGTTCCTCTGAAGTTTTAGAACCAACAGTCCTCGTGCGCCATCCGATCAACAATTTAGTCCCCATCGGGTTCGTTACTGCGCCTTCCCATTGTTGCGGGGGAATAAATTCGGGGTATCTTTGAAGTTCAAATTTTCACTCCTATCAATTTCATTCGTTCACACTTTAAAGAATTCTCTCTGAGGTTTTTAAGACCTATGGGGTTTATTTTCTTCGCTGGGTCTGTCATTGAGTTTTAACGATCGAATGTTTTTTTTCATGCTGAACCCCGATGATTATCTCGATACCCCGTTATTAAGAGCACCAAAGTGACTAATTATGCCACTTGACAAGTTTAATGTTATTCTTATATTCTATGCATATTTCAGCTAAGAAAATTTGTCAACATGAAATTCTGAGATGTGACTTTTTACTTCATATCTTGCGATCTTTGTTAGAAACCAAATAATCTTCGAACTCCATGTAATCTTTTGCCCACAGATACTGTTTCATCTTTTCTAAAACTGTTGCGACACTTGTTCTCCAGAACTCATTATTATTAATCTTACACCCAAGTTCATGCTGCTTTGAGCATCAATTTTTGCATTCATATCACTTTATATCTTCGGGGGCCTTTGAAATATATCTGTCGTAATTTGGAATCCAACTGAGCAAAAATTTCAACAAAATTGTGGAAAAGAGAAATTTAGATTTTTTTTCCCCTTTTCATCATTATCCTTTTCCTTTGATAAAGATATATGCGGCATCTTTTTAAATTACGAACTTCAAAACTTAAGCTTTAGCCGAGGTATATTCAATACCTGTAAAACAAATAGTTTTCACCGACCCCTTTAATATTTTGAAAGTTCAATGGAATTCATTACAAATAATCATTCTCTACGAACACATCATAGCGCTTTGTTTCTTTGAAGACACTGATAGCCAAAAATGTATTTTAATTTTGTTTAACAGCGGAATCTGCTTTTATCCCTTTTCTTCTTTTGAGTGGCTTACTTTCATGTTTCATTGATTCTGCGTTGAAAGTGAGAGCAGATAAGACTGTAAATTAATTAATATTCCTCTTTCATGCAGACAAAGCAAATCCTGAAATACAGAATCCGCGTCCGCCTATAGGAGGTGGTCCAAAAGGTAGGATTTATAAACGTCATATATGTACAGAAAAAGTTTGGATCCGACATTGTCAAAACCAGAATAAACCCCCCAAAAAACCATTACATTACAACTATATATATATATATATATATATATATATATATATATATATATATATATATATATATATATAAGCAAATTAGCGAATTAAATTAATTTACTTGATACTGGTATGTTGGTATATCAATGTATTCATAAATATTTAGTTCCAGATTGTAATGTTCTATACTTTCAAATAAGAATTATTTTATTGTTTTTGTTCTTGTATAAATTGAGACTTTTCTTCATTTTTTGGAATATCTTGAAACAAAAAATAAACAGTCCTACTGACACTCCTGAGATTACGTGTACTTTCACCTTCCTACATATTGGTTTAAAAACTTGAACTTTTAAAAAATTATTAAAATGTAAAGATACCTTTAACCTCCACTATTTCATTATTAGTTTCTTTGAAATTAAACGTCTTCATTGTAATTTTAGTTTGTAGATGTAACCGTAAATCATCCAAACCAAAAAGAAAGAAATTCAAACAAGGGCGCTTTCATTTTGGTAAGTTCAGCGTATTCATGTTAATTTTGTTATGACACACGTAAGTAAAATTGAATTACTTAAAATTTTAGGAGAATCTTCGCACAATTCATTTATATTGAAATCAATTAAGGAAACATGACAGAAATTTACTGTTTCACATTTCACACATCTAGTGGAAGAACTATTTGTAAGAAAAAAATCCTAATCTGTATACGGCCACTTAATATAACACAAACGTAAAGGCGATCGTATGTATTTTAATAAACATGCCCCACATGACAAAGTAAGATGCATATCAAAGGCAATTCTCAAATACCTGCCGGATTTAAAAAGGTAATGTTTTTAATTCTCATAATGAAAAATGTCAAAATAAGGTTTGTGTTCACAATGCTTCTTTCTCTAATTCACATTTTTGATGTAGTGGGGTTTATCCGAGTCACACAAATATTTAACATCAACATTGTCCTTAAACCGCTTTCCCTTTTCTTAAAAGACATTATGAACCAATGATCAATAATGATTAAAGATACGCAATGTTTTTTTCCGACACGATAAAATCAGAGGGAATTTAGTAGATTCCCAATGCTCGTGTGAACACGACCCCTGGAGAGACCTCGGTAATGATTATCAATGTGACTTTGACACTAAGGATTTGATTTCAAGAGTTTCAACGAAAAATTGACAAATACGCTTTACAGTCTAGTCGCCAACTCTCAATTGTTTTAAAATCATCAAGATTATGCAACAGAAGTGATCTTATTTTTCTTCTGGTATTACTGCTATAGTACCCCACTGTGCACAAAATGATCATTCTTCAATATCACCATCATAATTCTTTTAACAGCCACAAAATGTACATATACTTTTTGTGTCTTTTACAATTTTCAGACATTTTTCAGTATTTTTTTTTCTTTTTGTTTTGTTTTCGTTCAGCTATTCAAGGAAAAATCAAACAACAAGGTGTCATCAACAATGCTAATACTGTTACTAGAATCGAAGTCCTGAAAGTATTGAAGGAAAGCAAAGTCCACATCAAGGTGAATACCACTGTTGATCTATGGACCAATTCCACGTGTGTCTGCCCGAGGCTCGATAGTGATCGCACATATCTGCTCATTGGATATGAGGACACAGTTACACAAAGACTTTTGTTTTTGGATAACTGTCTTGCAGCAAAATGGCAAAAGCGATGGGTGAAAAGAATTAAGGTTTGTGTTGTTCTTTAACTTACATGTATTTTTTGGTCCAGGAATGATGCATGATTCAATGGAAATTCAAACTCGTCATTCAATGAAATGATTTAATTATGAGGTGAAAAACATTGTATTCTCTTTTTCCAGAAATGGAACAGGAGAAAAGGAAGAAAGTGTAGAAAATCAAGGAGTAAAAGATGTCGAAAAGGTCGAAAAAGGAAAAATAAAAACAGGAAAAGGTATAAATATTTTAATTCTTAATAAATGTTGTACAAGACTGAGCAGTAAAGCTAACAAATACATCTGTCTGTCAAAGATGATATCTAATTCTGACTTTCTTCTCTTCTACAGAAAACAGAAAAGCTGAAACAAAGCGATAGTACGCAATAGCAGTATTGAGACATAAACAGTTTAAATGTATTAAAGGCGCCATTGTGGACATTGACAAAGTATCAGTCTAGACAAATCCAACATGGAGGAACTTAAAGTTTTGAACTGGTATCCATGATGGCGTTAATATGATGCAAACATGTCAAGAAAATATGGATATTCTTCTCAAACTTAACCAATATTTTCTTTTTAGTTATAGTCATACTGGTTTGTCCTTTTGAAACATATTTTATGAAATATGTTTGTGACTGATATATACGGAATTTCACTCCAAGAGTAAGCGATATGTCAACAATTTTTTTCTTCGGTATTACATGTTGCATTATCATTTTTAATTTAATTATCCTATCTGAGTTATGTTTTGAAAATGTAGATTGTATATATCAGACCATTTTTAAACTAAATTGTATTTTTGTTAAACTAATAATCATCTTTTTGCAATCAATATTGTATGATATCATTTCATTTGTTTCATATATACTTTCTCAATCATTAGACATATAATGTTACTAAGTAACAATTAGTAGTGAATTCTGAAATACAAACACTCTCCAAAAAATTGTTCAGGCAATTAAGGAATGAATTTAATAGCTACCCAAGTTATACTGGTATAACCTGGGTCGGGGCAGTTTACGCTTTATAAACCGCGAAGCGGTTATAAAAAAGCGTAAACTGTTCCAACCAAGGTTATACCAGTATAACTTGGATAGCTATTAAATTCATTCCTTATTATTTAATTTTCATTCATTAAATGTAAAAAATAAGACAATTTCTCCTTCATAAATGCCTTCAAATTGTACATATTTTAAATGTAACGTCAAACGGATTGATACGTTTTTGACGTAAGTCATTGTGACGTAGGCAACCCAGGTTATACAATATACTCTAATTTTTTTTTCCAATCAAATGACGCGTTACAACCAAAATTAAATTATAAGTACATAAAGAAGTAAAACAGTCATTTCTTTTACATGGCATTTTTTTTTCAAAGCTTCCTCTGGCATACTGGACAATGGCTGAGGAACTTTGGTAAAGTAGCAGTGTTTTAAAAGACCAGATACAACAAGCTTTATTTTTAAATAAATATCTTTTATTGTGTATTCGACTTTGGAATGTATTAATACAAACTCTGACATTTATTTATCTTTTTTAATTGTTATGAATATGTCGAATAAATGAACTTCTGAATGTACATTGTACTTGTATCTTTTAACTCTCAGTGTGACAATATCAAGAAAAAACCAAGTGTTACATATTTTTGATAAGGAGTGCAATATTTTTAAACATCAAATGTACGCCGCTAATTTGCATACATGTTTGTAAATTCCCTGTAAAAACATGTAATACATATATGTTTTTTTATGACAATTTTATCAATGATTTGATAAACTTCCATTCGTACGTGTATATCCATTGTTTGTTTACATTTCTTAATTATGTAAAATGTAGATTTTTTTCTCTGAGAGGAAATTCACAATCATCATGAGTTTGTACTATTATACTTGAAATAAATATCATTAAGTGTACTTTTATTATGAAATCGATGAGCAGAAATGTACTCTCCTATTTCTTTATATGTGGATTAGGTATCACTTTTTCAGTCAATGTTAATGTTTCAAATTTGCTATCTATATTAAAGGGAAATTTCATTTGAAATTTTAAGATAGGAAATTATGCAATTTATTAAAATGCTATTATATTAAGTTTCGAAACTATCTCTTATCATGCAACACATTCTCTACCGAATTCTTCAATGCTGGAAAATTAAGTGAAAAGTATCGTATGGCTCCAAATATTGTACTTTGAAATGGATATGCTTGTTTGATAAATGAAAAATAAACTGTTGGAAAAATGAAACATCTATTATCCTCATTTCAAAGGAAACAAATTACTTTCATCAAGGTCCTTACTCTGATATTCAATATGGAACTCTGGGTGCTTTGAGGTAAGAAGACGGCGCGCCCCGCTTGAAAGGGTAACCCTTGCTTTATATGGATGGCAAAAGTCCCCAACGCCTTGATATCTGAAGGGTGTTGTCCAAACAAAGTAATTATTAGGAATGTTTAAAATCAGTATAAAAATCTTATGCTTTAGGTATTTTTCCAGCCTTTAATGATTGTCTTCGACAGTAATTTGGATGCAAAGGACAAAGGTTATTAATCCAGAATATAATTGTGTATTTAACCTAAAGAAAGGACTATGGAGTTTTATTTGGTGAACAATTCGATTTATATAATTGCTTTACATGTTCCACATGTACCATATGACATCAGGAAAAAAGGTTATCTAAAATAATCATGTTACAGAGGAAAATAATTCCTTTATAGAAAAGCCTTTTATCACTTGTTGTCAAAATAGGGTAGTTGCTAGGTGTCATTTTTTTCTATTTAATTCAGCAATTGAATTAATTTCGCGACAATGCTGGGCGATGAAAACGGCTTAAATTCATAACGAAAATCAACTTAATTATATTTTAATGAGTGTAGATTTTGATTAGCAAAATGCATTAAAATACATACATACCCACATTATGTATTTACACCGATAACGGATTGTGTAAGGTCTTTACGGCTATGTTCTACTAAGAAACGTTGTTGTTGTTGTTGTTCTTGTACTCGCATGCTAATATTATAGAACTATTTGGAAATAAGTACTTAACACTGTCCCGGATAAATCTGCTACCTTCAAAGTGGCAAATCAGCGCCCCCAAACTTTTATTTTATATAAGTACTCTAGTAACTTAACCTTTGATCTATTGATACAAACCTTTTATCACTGAAAAAAACGGAGTGATTTGAAGGTTTTGGAGTAAAAATAACTTGTCAAAACATAACTTTAGATGTCACTATCACAAAACAAAGAAATGACAAAAAACCAACAGGTCGGTGGTAGTCTTTTTAAACGAAGTTTCAGTTGTTGCATTGGATTCTTATCAAATACGAGGGATGCGCCTGGTAACCCTACCATTGCCTCATTGGAAACCAGAGAAAAGAAAAATTAAAATATTTCTGATTTTTTTTCTTTTATTTATTGCTAATGTTTGTTAAACTTATATACCAATTTTCATCAAAAGAATTTCATTAGAAAGGAGTATAAACACAATGCCTCAATAATTTCCGAACAGCCCGCGTAAATGTACATCTATTTAAACCACTATATAGTGACGGGTTTTGATAACCATGGCTACTGCATTGCAACTATTCAGGAAATGCGTGTGTTGAATGTTGCGACAACCACCTCAGGTGTGAGCTTAATCTCCACCATGCATTAAATGTTACTGTCTTGAAATTTTCTTCGAATTTCAATTTTAGGACAATTAAGGACATTTGTGTAAAAAGCATTACTCTTTTATGGCCAGGCAGAGGAATGGACAGATGCAAAACACCAACGAATAGCAACCGAATACAGTAGTTACTCATTTCGTTCTACAGGATCTTAAATGAATTGATCATGCTCTCTCTCTCTCTCTAACAAAAAAAAAAAACACTTTTTTTTAAATATTGAAATCTTTAAATTTCAAATCCCTGACATACGATTAAGCTTCCTCATTTCTTGTTCAGCAGGATTGCAAGTCGGATATATAATATTAAGACGTTTTAACCTTTTTGAGCAAAAGTTATGTTTGTATTTAATTTTTTTTCTTCCAAAATAATATACTTTTGACTATAATTGACTTTTCTACAGATGTACTCTTTCATTGGCTCGTGAATTTTTTTTTTTTTTTTTTTTCGTTTAAAAAAGTGCACTTTTCATTTTCTGTCGTAGTTATTAATATGCATTTGACCGTGATTACAAGAGGAAGGTTTCTAAATAAAAAAGATTAATGAAGGAAACAGATATTATCTCAAAGAAAGAAATTAGAAAAGGAAGTGTTAGCAATTTACATTCTGGAGATGCACATCAAAACATCAACTAGGCTTAATTCTGAAAGTTCTAGGCATGATAAACACATATAATCAAAGAAGAAACCGGCGACACACTTTAAAAAAATCCATTTGAAAGTGGACCATTAAATAACGCAGATTTAATCAATCAACACTGGTCTAAATTCTGCAAAATGTGAGGGAGGAAAATAATTCCGGGGATTGTGTAGGTTTTCTATATCCGAAAGTGATTAGGGTCGTCAATCACAGGGTACAGAAATACTAGTAACTAAATTTTTCAACATCAAAACATCAAAAATGCATGAATTAAAACTTTGGCCAGATATTCCTGATCTTGACATGGTCTACAATCCTCTTTCAGGAATTTAAAATCTTCAACATTTGTGACCCTTTGCATTTTCGTTAAAATTATGTCGAGTAAAGCAGCAAAGAGTGCTTAGTAATTTAATACCATGCTTGTATTTGCTTAGAAATTTGCGAAAGTTAAGTTCACAATATTGAAGCTTCAAGCATGAAGACAACGGTGAGAAAATCTTTTTAAAAGGAGATGGGTGAACATGGCGAGCGATAAGCCTATAGTATGACAAACATGAAGATGAAAAATTAAATTTCAGTTATATCAAATTTTTTCTTGATATTTCGTCTAACATTAAAATATACTTTATGTAAAATCTCTTCATTTTGCAAAAATTCCTCAAAGATTGAAATTATTTGCCTGTGAAATATTAGACTCGCACTAAAGCGGGCAAAAAGAGTCATTTTCTAATACTATAACACTATTTTTCGATATGAGTGGGTCTTTGCTCCACCTTTTTGAAAGTTAATCCTCAAAGGTTGCATAAAAATATACATTTTTGGGTTACGAAAAATATGGAGCAATGACCCACTATACCTTAAAAATATACTTTTATGACATAAAATTCGCATCTTTTCGAGAAATACTTGAAGTCCATTAAGTCAAGGGTCATATCACAAGCATGATTTAAATGCCACACTTCATCAGGACTTGTGTAGTCTAGTGGTTAGCGTGCTAGTCTCGAAAGAAAATGATACTCAGGATTTTTATTGCTAGGGTTCGAACCCCACGAATACCACATTAATTTTTTTAATAAAAGAATAAATTTTGCCGAGAAAATTTTCCTCAAAAAAGTTTTGTTTATCATAATTTCATAAATTTCAATAATGAGAACTTTACTCTAAATACTAAATTCACAAACTGAACATGATTTTTATATATCTGAAGCTATAGGCTTTCTGCACGCTATGTTCGCCCATCTCCTTCAAATGCTTGACATGTATAAAAATCAAAGGTGTCCACTGCCATAAATAGCTGAAGGTATGATACCAGTAAATTGTTATGTGTCTGAAAGTTTTAATATTGCATTACTATGCAGAAAAATCAGGGGTTTTATTCTTTCACCATCGACTTTATTTATAAACACAATATTAATTATAATACAGAGC